ACCCCTTTACTTCCCATGGTCGCGGTTTCGATTCATCGCACGCTGCAAACATTTGTATTCACAAGTATGATTGTTTGCATAAGTCTGTAATTCTGGATGTTATCTATGTATATTATGTACTAGCTGACTGGCGCAACTTCGTCTGCATATTTTATTACCGTTTTAGTCCTATTGGTCTTAGCGTAATGTTATATAGCTTAAAGCCATACTCGACAAATGGACTATCCAACACAAAAATAATTTTTCAATACGAACCAGTATATCCTGAGACTAGCGCGTTCAAACAAACAAACTCTTCAGCTTTATAATATTAGTATAGTATTATGTATCTATTTACAAAAAATATATGTCTTAGTATTTATTATTATTATATATAGAAACTGTACTGATTCCATCATATCTATCTTGTAATCCAAAGAGTACTAGTGTGATCGACCTATGACTATCCGTCTATACTTATAAGTATGCGATCTTTTATCTCCTGGAAAATGACATGAAAGTGGATGAAATGGGTGAAGAAAGTTTAATGCAAATAAAGCAACACGTAACAGCTAATATAGCTATCTACAAGTCGTACAGATAATATAGAGAAAATAAATAAATAAATTACAATATTTATTATTACTGATGCTTAGTTATAAGATTAGAATTAATATAATTTGGTAAGCATTAGTACCATATCTACTGCATAACAAAAGGAGAACTATCGATGATCGCAGATTTCTTCACCACTCAATTCAAATATTGGTGTTTTTAACAGAGGATAATAAAATCGTGCATCCGCCATCTCTAACGGTTTATGCAGGCGGGACGCCAAAAAAACCTTGTCACAAAAAAATTACACGGAACCCTATTGACATATCTCCAACTCGTTTAGAAGATTCTTATTCGCACAGTGTCGCCGTTTTACATAATAATAATGACCATCGATTTTCTCAAGCAGGTTAGTGTCTAAAAATTTGTTTTTAAACCTCACACTTAAAGCCCTAGGTATTTGAGCTTTCTTTGAGAAGCCTATGTATAAATTCATCGTATCATCGTATTCATCGGTTCACTTAGTAATAATAATATCTTACTTACTTGGTTTCAGCTCTAAGTGTGTGTTTGCCACAAAGCGTAACAAACCAGTAAAAGGTGAAAAAATGTATTAGTAGTAGTAGAGAACTGAAAGAAATACTGAAATACATTTTGTAAATATATTTTTTTTTATACTACTATAGTGACAAACAGGCATACGGCCCATCTGATGGTAAATGGTTACCGTAGCCTATGGACGCTTGAAACACCAGGGGTGTCACGTGCGCGTTGCCGACACTTAAGAAACCTTAATATACCCTTCTTGAAATAAATAATATAAAATATATATGTACATAGAAAACACCCAGACTAATACAATCATATACATGAATACAAATGTTTGTAGCGTGCGAGGAATCCGACCCGTAATGCTGAACAGCTAGATCATCGCCGTCAAATAATCTTTCTTTATAATGAGAACTTGTAGACTCCTTCTACTAATTATACTTGCTTATACCTTCTTTCTTATATGGATACAAACTATGGACGCGCCGAGATTCGAACCATAGCGATGCACGTACTGCTCCATGTATCGTTCTGCGGATTTAGGGTGCCTTTGCAATCAACTCTATTATCGTACGGTTTAACTGTACAGGTCAGCTACGGCCAACAGTTTTAGAATAGATCAAGAGTATACTACCTCGACGTCCTTTTAAATCATGTATAAGATTCTTAGTTACAGATTTACATATTAAGCTTATTGACTCAACCTTCACGTGCTCGATCTGTCATCCATCTTAGATAATTTCTGTAGAAATTGCTAAATTTACTGTATTTGCAATCATTTCTCAATACTTATATATTTGTACATATCGTATACCATTTTAACGCTGATCTCATCATTTAGTAGCCACATTGTAAATATACTTTTTAATATTGCTTGCTTATCACCTACTTTTTAAGTAATTTAACTGTTTTTTGTATAAACTATACGATATTTTCTTCAAATCTGAAAGGATTTAATTATTCTTTTTAATCTGATAGAAAAATATTATATATTAATAATATATATCTCTTAATTATTGTGTGAATGTAGTTTTTTTAAATAAGAATAAAATATAAATTTGTAAAATCATTGCCATAATGTTATTAATTATTTTGCTTCTTAATATATACATACTAGTAGACCCGGATACGCATTGCTGGGGCTAAGGTTCTTGAATAAAATAATATTGCGACTATAAATTGAAATATAAGCTATCCCGTCTTTCAAGTTGGATCAAATTGCACACAATGTGCAAATCAAATTGGCAATCGGTTCAGTAGTCTAGGAGTCCATCGCGGATAAACAACGTGACACGTAATTTTTATATCTAAAGATATTTTTAATTTATGCAACCAATATGACCATCAACATTATCATTAATATTAGAGAAATAAAATTATGTATGTGATTGTTAAATTTATTTAATTTCCTATCTTACACACTACAAACTTACAATAGATTGGCGCATAAGCAAGCCATTATTACAATTCAAATAAATTCACTGCATCGGACATTATTACATTGATAAAAATATATATCACTTATTATACTTATACTTTACTGCACCTTATCTTAAAGTATATGTAGTTACAGTTTACAAGCGAAAACGTTAATTATCAAATTATTAATACTAGTAAATTAGTAATATTTTCAATACAAAAATGAACCTATCGAACAAATAAAAAAAAGTAATTCAACTAAATGTCACTGGATCAACTTTTTTAAAAGGTTCAAAGTTAAGATATTGCATCCTCGCTATTAGGTGACAGTGCCCGTTAAGTAAGGGATTCATATCAATTGTTATGACTTATCTAAATTACATACAAGTCTTATAATAAAAAACATTTATTCAGCGTCACTTGGTAGTGTACAAACATATTTAATTACCAAGATTAAAATTTTGTAGACTCTTTTTGAGTTTTATACGAGTTGAAATAAAGTTTACGAAACAGCTGATGACTCGGAATACAAGAACGTTATGTCGCTCACCAAACACGCAGTCTTATCCTACTTCCGGCTGAAGGATTCGAAGGATCAAGTTGCCGATCATATAGTATAGAATACGGGTTATTTTTTCTAATACATAATAAATATATAATAACACAAGGATTAGATATTTCTTGTCAGTTCTCGAACTATTTTGAGCTAAGCTCGAAAACACTCCGAACTGACAGTAGATTTGACATATAAGAGTCTGTAGAGCTACATGAATAAAGATATTTTAATTTGATTTGATTTCATATGTATATTCGTACATATTATATAATACTTGTATAAAACTAAGAGTAGATTTGAGATATCATAAGAGTTTATAATATACCTACATTAATCAATATATTTTGATATATATACTCTTATATAGAACACCTGTATAAAATCTTAAATATCTAAATCTAATCCTTATCACTTATCGACGATAACACTTAACGACCTGCGTCTCAATTTGAAGTGCAAGTCTGTTTTTGTAACAGATTAAAATCTATAGGTTTTGGATTTTCTATGACCATATGAGAGTTGCAGATCCTAGTATATGATATATATATATGACCCGTAATAGCAACTTTTTTTTCCAGACAATTTTAATGCTGCTTACCACAGTTTGCCTTTCCAGTTTCACCGGCTAAATTGCTAAATGGTCGTACAAATTGTAAAATTATACATTTAAATCTGTTTCAAATACAGAATTTTTATCTATGTTTTCCCGCTCAATTAGGATGTTGTAACAAACGATATTACATTTTAATCTTCAGTATTCAAATTAAAAATTCTTTATTTAGGTAACACATTTTTACTAAGTTCTATGTAGTTGTTGAAACATCCTTTTAAGCATAAAAATGCATGTGCCCTGTGGCTCCACTCTTCCATAGCTTATATTGTAAATAATGATAAGTACATAGAGATTATGTTTACCTTTAAACCTACTGTAAGTTTAGACGAATAATTGCTCCTTAGATTGTCATACCCAAATATTACTAATAATATAATACTAATAAACTTTCAAGACTGCTATCCCTAACGCGGTTGTCAGAGGAATTGTCAAAATTATGACGTGACCTAAACTCTCGACATACCCACATCCGGTTGATATACTTGACTGCAACGAGGAAGGCGAGCCTCTCGCCGTGGGTCAGATTAAATTGATTTGTTATCATTGTCGGAAACATTGAATCCCAGGAGAGTAAGTCAGAAATATATATGGACGAAAAATATTTATCATCCTTTGGATCTAATTCGAGTTGTAAAGCACTGGGCCACAACGCAAACATTACATATATAATACACATATAAATATAATAATTCGACATATTTTCGTTTGATATAATTAAGTTACAAACGTCAATTCTTTAATTATTCACAATATTATTCCAACATTTCTAGTAACTTAAATATTATATTGGTATTACTATAATTAATATCCTAACTTCGCGCAGGATCCCTTATAAGGAACGCAATTATATAACAGATGTTTATTTTTTTAATATTTTATAAGGGCAAGTACCGCATGTGGTACTGTGGTACACTGGAGTATTATGACGTATCTATGTGGTACTTCTTACATAAAATAATGTTTTGACTTCTACGAAAATACCACTAGTCTATGGTACATATTAACCACATCGGTTCAATAATTTAACACGCTACATAGCTTTAACTTCAGGTCGCAGAATTTGCATTCTTGCTCTTCATATATTAAACAGCCTTAACTAAAAACATTCAATTTTTGGAACTTCGACTTTAAAGCACAACTCTATACTCGATTTTCGATTGAAGTTTTCGTGTTAATACAGCATTTATTTTGTATTATGTATGTATTTACAAATACTATTTTAATAAGTAATAATACAAGCTCGGCTTGTTTTGTTTATTATTTCCTAGTGACCCGTTCCGCTACGCCCAGGTATTTCAGTTACAATATAAAACCTTAACGAATTATACACGCAAATCTTCCTCAGATATCGCTGTTGATATATGAAAACCGCGTTACAATCTGTTCAGCGGTTTTTGATATTATCGCGAACATGCAGATAGTCTCAGAAACTTTGTTTTGGAATATAGGTATCTATTAAAAAACAAAGTATACCATATAGTAAATCTACACGTAGATTTATTTTATCGAATATCTGTTTGTCAGCTGTTTCTTGATCTTTGTTATATATAGTCGGGCCTGAGCCCGTCAGACGATTCTCAGATGTTGTTCATGTCATACAGCACTTGGGCAATGGTTCGAGATGCTTCCACGCTGCTGAGTGCAATCGACGCCAGATGAGCTTCATAAGAGCGAAGTTGTCTGTGAAGAAAGATGTAAGTATAATTAATTTATTAAATTATTTTACACATATTTGACTGCCCTGGTCTAGCAGTTTAGAACGCCACTTTACTTCCGATGGTCGCGGGTTAGATTTGATGTTATTCATGAGTATAATTGTTAGGTAAACACTTAGACACATACACATAAACACTATGTATATGTTTAAAAAAATCTAAGTATATAGCAGTTGTCTAGTATCCATAACAAGCTTTGCTTGACTTGGCATTAGATAGCGCCGTATGAATTGTCTAAGGTTATTATTATTATATTGTGTTAGGCAAACAGACAGAAGTAATATTTCTGTGATTTCTACGTGAATCTATATTGATTCTGTGGACATTTGGAGAATTATACTTTCGTACTGAGCTTGTGGTATAAAAAATCAGGATAATCTGTATTAAGAAATCTACTATTTTACCAGTTTTTAATAATTTTATTCCTTATTAACATTATATTTCGTTTCACACTGTTCATGAAAGCTTCCATGTAATTCATACCTATCTACTAATTATTATAATATAGAGGACAACATAAACTTAGAAGTACTCAATATAACTTTACAACTGAAAGACTTATACTCTCCTATAGATATAATACTTAACATATTTTATGACCTGACCGCTTTTGTATTAAGCCATTTTCGAACGCATAAAATCACTAAGTGTTTGATCGTAAAAGGCATTTAAACTTTAAGTGGATTTATTTATGAAATTAGTAACTTCAGTCACGTATCTCGCTTGAATTTGAGTAGAAAATATGGTGTACATATATATTTATAGTCATCATCATTATCACCATCATCATTGTCATCATCATCATCGTAATCATCATCACTTATGAATAAAATGTTACAAACCGAAAGATAGACTAACTTCTGTTCTTGTAATTGGTATAGATTTGTGTACATACTCACCGTCGTCCAGTATTGGAGTATATTACAATATTCCTAAGTATCAGGGCAGCTGTCAACCTTATACTCTTCGTTACTGGACCTTCATTTTCATCCTGGGAAAAATTCATTCATTAGTTAAAAAAAATATACCTACTTTATAAAGATACTGTACAGATATATTGTTAATTAACGTTCAATCATCGGCAATCTTGGTCAATCGTCGTTCCTGACTGATGGCTTGATATGAATATACCTACTACCATTCTCAAAGTGCCAAACCTAACAATTGGTGTCATTAATGACATGAAACAACAAACAAACAAATTCTCATTTATAATAATAGTCAGGATTACACTACGCATAATATTAAAAAATATTTTATTAATCAATTGAGTAGTAAACAATGAAACATCTTAGATTATTAAGGTTTGTCTCAGACTTCTATATACAAATATATCTTTACAAAAATCCACTGAACTAAATGTTGCTTGTAATAAAAATTGGTGATGGTATTATTGCCACAAAACTGAAGTATTCACGTCACAAATGTAATATCTGCTTTTAAATAAAGAAACACAAACTGAAACTCCATGCAGGGAAACTTGTAATCATACTCGAATTAATTTAACCGGTAAGCTAATTTTATTCTTTATAAAACCACTACAATATATTTCAAGCTGAAATGCAATTCGTATTCAATAAAAATATATAATATTTATATACATATTAGAAAACGTAGAGCCTGAAATAGTAGCGCCACCAAACAAGAACCTATCCAGAAACTCATTCAAATATACACAAAATACACCAAATTTCAGACAAATCTGACTAGCTATTTTGGAGTTGACAAACAATACATAAGAATTATATATTTTAATATAAATCAGTGCATTAATATATAATATATTGTCAACAATAAGCGATAAGCGAAACTACTAGCATTCTATATAAATTTAACCATTGAATATGAGTATTAACATATAGTTCAACCAAAATAAAATCTAAGAAACATGTTTTAAAATGACAAATATACATTAAAAAAAATACAAGTTGGTAGCATGAATGTAAGTGTTGAGTATATTTTATAAGTAGAACAGATTTTTTTCATAAACATTGTGACAACCACTTTTATTTGCACAGTGTGTTATGCCATAACAACTCTGTTATTCGCTATTGATTTTCATTTTGCACAGTATAAGATTCCGGCTGTTGGTCCCAGGAACTTAAGTGTAACATTACACTTAAGTTCCTGGGACCAACACTTATCTTTTTTTTTCTTGTGGACAAAATCTTAATGTGCAATAAGTTCTGGGAAGCGTCACAACATTTACTGTACTTAAAGCTCTTTTATCCACAAAGTCACCACCCAAAAAAGCGTTGAAAATGGAATTAGTCTTTATCTATTGAATGGGTACAATACAAGGATTCAGGGGATTAAAAACCCGCTTTTTCTGGTCACATTTCAGAATTGATATGTCATGTCACACCTCTAGTTCTAAACTTAGAAGGGATCTAGATTTCAAGATTTTTTTGATGATACCAAATTGTGTATGGATGGCCTCTAAAGCGGTTTTTAACCCAGGTATTCCAAAACAACACAAAAACAGCACACGACAACACAAAAGCTAACGTTATGTGAGTCTCACCAGCTGCTCCGGTGTGCGACTGAGTTCGGCCCTGTGCTGCACGCACACAAACGCACACGTTAGTGATTGCACGCGTAGTGACACAAAATTAATTAGCTAATCGTTACCAAAAGGAAGACATTTTAAATTCAGAAAGAAAAAACTCTTTGACACTTGAATACTGACAACTATTTCGGTTCACGTGTTCTATTATTAAATATTTAAATACATTTTTAATTAAAAAAGATAAAACATATTTGAATATTAAATGTAGAAGTATATTAATTGTAGAAGAACGAATCATTTATTTTTTTAATATTCAAGCCATGAAGAGAAAATAACTAAAAACGGAGTACAAATATAATTATGATATGAAAACATGGGCTAAATTAATGCAAATTTCAATTTCAAACTATTTACATTTATGGCTACATAGTTATTTATTATAAGCAAAAGTTACACAATTAGCACAAGTTTTTTAATTAATTTCAACAGTTTAAGTTTTTTCTTTCTTTTCTTCATTTCTACATCGGTTTAAATCACAATACCTTTAATATATATAAAAAGTACTTCCTTTTAGAAACAGATCGCACGATTTAAATGAATTATAAGCATATAAATAGTATCACATTTTAAATATTACTGGCATGTTGAAACTTCCCAATAACAGACAGGATCAATACTGGAGCGTTTGCTAAAGCATCAACTACTGTATTTAAACTTTCGCGTTTAGTACACTTTATTACATTTAGATTATAAAATATACTAATCATAGAATATATAATTTAATGGAAAATATATTTGCCTCACGCGATGTCAATTGTTACAATTATTGATTAAAATACGCGAATGTTTACAACGCCATCTATGAGTGTCAATTTGAATTACCAGACAGACATTAAGCATGGCGCGAATTTTTCTTCTATACCCATCTAATCTAGAATATAGAAAAGAATTTTATTTTGAGAACGCATCAAAAAGAGATTTCTTATGTTATGTTCTAACGATACAATACAGTATCTACATTTTGTGAATGGAATGATTTGTTTGTAATGGATACTAAAAATTTTTGTCAGATTCTAAATAATATTCTCCCATCCTTAGTTTCGTCATTATACTATCAACAAGTAATATGTGCTTTATTAGTTTTTTTTTTTTTTTTCAAAATATAACTGAAATTTATAATTACTTCTGGCACGGATATACAAACCTAACCAAGACTTAGATTAGAGCTTTAGTATTTAAGCTTCGAACTTTATACCCCCGCACAATATTTAAAACCAGTTACATTATTTAAAACCAATTATTAAAAACCAGTTAAATATAAATTAGTTATACAAAAATGAAAGATTTCACTATACTTCTTGTAAGTTATTCTTAACTGATTAAAGAAATACCTATTACTTAAGTTTTCGACAAGTGTAACATGGGCTGTAATTAAAAAAAAATAGTAGTGCCTATAACTGGAACAGAGCAAAACCGAGGTGGGTTACTAATAGTTTTTTTTTTTTAAATATAGGTGCACGTGTTGTGATAAATCCCTACATACAATCATTTATATGTCGCGTCGCTTGTGCATTGCATATAAATTCAAATAATTTATTTTGAACCCCACATCGGTTTCTATACACGCATTATTTATATCATTACAGCCAACTACGAGTATGCGTGCTACTAAAGACAGTTTGCAATTTTCATGCAATATAAATTTATAATTAATTTCTCCCTTCACATACAACTACACCCCAATTGTATCGGTGTATACAAATTTTACTGGTTAAACTGGCAACATCTGTATTAACTGACAACATATAAACCATGTTGTTTAATTTAGTTCACTTTCATAACTATAATGAGAGCGAACTAAAATTTACTATTACTAAAAATAGTATCTGAAAACTTAAAATTTTAGTAATCAATTCTACGATACGAAAATTTATAACTATATAGGTATTATACTGTATAGGTATTTAATTTAAAAAATAGTTTTTTTTTTTTATTTTTTACTTACTGTAAATTTGTAAATAATCTTTTACAATGTTATGCAATTTAAAAACATACATATACTTTTTTATATAACGATTTATATTTGTTTTCTAATATTGACAGAAAATACAAACGTTGCCAGATTGGTAAGAAAACAGAATAAGAAAGAAAGGAAAGGGAAGGAAATTTTTGTATTAGTATATATATCTTTTATGGTAGATCGTCATGTATCATTGTATATATCATCCGAAGAGTATCTTAAGGTTTCTTAGGAGTCCGCAATGCGCACGTTATACCCCTGGTTTTTCAGGAATCCAAAGGCTACTTTACCATCAGACGGGGCAATGTTAAAACTAGTTCATTGCATACACCTGGTGGACCTGACATAGTCGGTAAATAATATAACTAAAGTTTATTTTCTTCTTATGATATGTAAATAAATAAAAACAATTTCTATCCAGTATATAAAAATTGAGATTTGGCATAGACTTACAAACCACATTTTAAAAAATTCAATTTTTATAATGGCGTTCTCTGGGCGACATTTTTAATATATGTGAAATTTACGTTATAATTAAATTTAAACAGAGTTTTAGCTCTTATAAAGTCAAATTAACATTTAATATGTATACATACAATGATATAATATATTATACATATTCATAGTGCTATAAAGAATGTATATAATATATATGATAATATTATCAATGAATACATTATTAAACTATGTTAATTACAAATAATATTAACAAAGAAGGTGTTAATTTTACTTTATAGGCAATTCAGATTAAAAACATTCGCGGAAAAGTCGAAATTACATTTTATTTTAAATACTTTAGTATTTATAAAAACTTAATACACTTACCATTAGCTCCCTAGGGTTGAACATATCAGCTGCATGTTTATTCAGGGCTGCCAGTGCTGCGTTTGGTGGGTATCCCAGCGACACTGGCTTGTTGGCTTCGGCCTCCGCCGCTGCGTGGCGTCGCGAATTATATAGCGTTTTTAATGCCTGTGGAATAGAGTTTAAATTTCAACAATTTCATTATGTGCGTTCGTGTAGAAGCCATGGAGTGTCGTTTCCATTTACAATGAGGCCGTTGTTACGGCGAAGAACGAGCCCTACTATATAGACTATATGCAGTTCGGGATGAGAAGAAAAATATCTACATTTTTTATATGGTATAATTTCTGTCTAATATATTGTCTAATCTAATATATTGCTTACTATTATCTCTAATGACTGAACAAACAAATATAGTGCATATATAATTATTTATTGCAAATATAATCATAAAACTTTAGCATGTATCCTTTATTGCGTACTTTAAATATACAAATTGATGATTATTTGGCAGATGATAACTACTCTATTCTTCTTCTTACACAAATGACTGCCGAGCAGTCACAGTCGAGTGGCTACAGTGACCACAGTATAATGTGTACTCACGTGCGCAGAGTATGAGTGCTTGTCGGTAAGATGGTTGAGCAGCGCGAAAGTCTTGAGCTGAACGCGATCTCAGTTGAGCCACAATACAGGGTACAGTGACCACAGTATAGTTTGTGTACTGTGCGCGGAGAACCAAAGTACGGTGATCACAGTGTAGTGTGTATACTCACTTGCGCGGAGCAGTGCTTGTCGGTGAGGTGGTTGAGTAGCGCGAAAGTCTTGCGCGGGACGCGGTCGCAGTCGAGCCACAGACAGGGCGCCTCCCCCGCGGCCGACGGCGGACAATGCGTGCGCGCCGCGTGCGAGAACACGTCCGCCGCATTCGAGAACGTTCTATTACAACAATTTCAATAGTTACTCAATCGACTACACTCAGATTCAAATAAGGCGTGTACAAACATAGTGCGCGAATACATTTATTATTCACTTATATTTCTTGAATAAATTGTTACAAAGATGAAATATTAAGTGTTCATAGCTTTGCTATCATTATACTAATACGTAAGCAAAAAGTTTGTACCCTTTCTGAAAATTGCGTGGACTGAGGTGTATAAAATTTCGCATATTTGTAGTTTCGTCCAAAGTCCAGAATGCTAATATTTTCATTTAAATTATTCATAAAAAATACATTAAATCAATATAAAAAACACATTGCACATGTATTTGACACAAACACGTATAGAAATATATATAGTCTTTGACATAGAACCTTAAAAAATGTTCAAACTTATTATTAATTAATTATGATCGAATGTCGACCATTGGGCGACCACTAGTATAACTAAATTATTAATTCAGTCTATCTATGATTATGGCAATAAATATATAATTTGAGTACAGACTTGCCACAACCCCTCCAGTGACATATCCAAGGCGTATCTTCTTGTGGGGTGGTCGGTTGCAGTGGTGGCGTCGCCGAAGGTTTCGGTGGTGTTGGTTTCTAAAAAGCATTAAAGAAAAGTTGAAATGACTAAAACATCTACAAGCTATATTCTGCGGCTTCACCGCCATAACATTTCGTCCATGGAACTCGCTACTAATGTAACTTCAAAATATTACAAATATTTTTCAGTTTATCCATTACAAATCAACATACTTTTATATGTTGCTACCCTTATCACCTAGAGTTATAAAAAATAACTTACGACCTATTCTCTGATCTACCAAATTTCATAAAAATCAATTAATCCGTTTCATACAAGTTCGATACGAAATACAGTGACACGAGATTTTTATAGATTAGATAGACAAGTTATAAACAATTTGCGAAGTAAGATTTATTTAATATGTAATAACAGGGCATGGAGGAGCGAGGACCGCGTTTTAAAGAAAGTACGAGTGCCTCGATGGATGGAAAGAGAGAGGACGATAAAAAAATGATGGGTGTGAAAGATGATATATATAATAGGAGAGAAAGCTCAGATTATCGCTGATTTCCTATCAGCCGTCTAATCTGAGGCGTAAGATGTCCTTTTCTCTCAGTGAAAGAAGAGGACATCCTACGCCGATCCCAAACAATGGGATAAAAACCAGTCAATGATGATGATGATGATGATGATGATGAGATAGAAATATATATATTCGTATGTAGATGCTTACTTCAGTAACGGGCTGCGTCACTATCAACTCCTTATCGCCTATTTTCGTATTGCCAACCATGACTGGCTGCCGAGTAATGACTTGACGCATTGCCGGCTGAGCTGCCTTCTACGACAATATAGTCGTTTTAATTTATATGGCACACTAAATATTTATAAGCATATGTCTACGATCTTCTTTACAGAATGAAGGGAGTACGAATCATTTTTAGTATTAAAGATACTCTACTACATTTTTAAAAAAAATATTATGTAATTTATTATTATTTAATTATTTAAATATATTTAAATAGAAAACAAGCTGACGGCAGTAATTCATCGTTGCCATTCCAGATGACTAAGAAAGATATCATATCTCTTATCCTATAATTTTAAATTCCGAGAATATGATACTTCTATATGTACATATATTATGTAATTATTGATATGTATAAGTAGTCTAGTATCCATAACACAAGCTCTGCTTAGGTTGGGTTTAGATGGCGCTGTGTAAATTATCCTTGATTATTATTATATTTCTTAACAAAAATACATACTCACCGCGTTAGTTTGGATAACACTAGTTTTACTGTCACTCTGAATAACAGATGATTGACTAACAACACTTGGTTGTACATTAGTAACCACCTGCCTCCTTTGTGGTTGCTGAACAACCGCCTTCATCGGAGCATTCACAATTATCTGCTGATTATTAGAAACCGCTATTATCTGCTGGTTCCCTTGCAACAGTTGCTGGTTGCCTTGTATTATTTGCTGGTTACTGGACGCCGTGCTGATCAATGAGGGCGGTTGTTTCTGTGTTACAACAATTTGTTGCTGTTGCGCCGTGTTGACAATTTGAGCTTTATGTGGTTGCGGTTGGGTTGTTATTACAGGTTGCTGACTGGGTGTTATCTGCGATGTATTCTGTAGACACATTTGTATTATAATTATAAAATAAATTTAATATTATTAAGATTACTTCGATCAATAATACCAAATAGATAACGCCTCAAACTAAAACAGAACTCAAATATTGAATCTAAATACACTACCCAAAAGAAAAACTATCAAGAGGTAAATTCAACTACAATTACAAATGAATAAGTGCTATTTCGCTTCTGTAAAAATAAAGAAAATGAAATTTTAATAAGTGAGGCGTTAATCGCTCGGCTCTTTTACACTCTATGACCAAATATTATGTAGTATTCTTGATCGAAGAATGAAAGTATTATACACTATAAAATTACCACAAAAAATGAATTAGCTAAGAGTATAAAATATAAGCAGATGTACCCACAACCATAGTAATGATAAATTTAGGTATTTTTAACTATGAATGAATATACAATTAGTTATGATGATGAATAAATGGCCTACAATTATAATCACTATACAATTAATAAACAGAATTACTAAATTCATTGAATACATGTCAATAAAAGCTAATTTGGAATAACACACGATTTTCTATGCCAATAATATGCGATACAGTTCGCATAGCGTCCCGTTTTTTAATCTAACACAATACAATACAATACTAACACATGTATCTATTCATGCACAATATATAGTCTACTATACTTTAGCTAAATTTACCATAAAGCTACAAGGCAGACGAAACTCACTCTGGTATGGCAGTGCGGTAACGAATTAATTTTGTAATCTAGGTAGTGATGAAATTATTTTTACATCTTGGCAATAATTATTACAACTATCAATAAACCACCAGAAAATTGCTTGATAAATATTAGCAAGTGGTTAAATGTCAATATTTTGACATACATAGATTAATAAGAAACTTTTTGTATAATGTTCTCATAGAAGATAATACTGAATCTTTCCTTCTTTAATGTTATCTGGGATCACCTTATCTGGGAGGTCTTAATTTCTACAATATTAATTTAACTTTTATAAAAAGTTACTCCAGTATAAGTTAAATAAATTTATATGTGCCCCTTAGAATAATCTATTCCTGGAGTGTTTTAAACACTAACCTCTCAAAAAACTACTACATTCTAGCGCATCTAATGTATATAGGATAGAGTTTGTATTACAATGTCACTATAACCATACATTTAAGAAACATTCGTGTATGAATAGGTATGAACTATGAATATCAACACAAAATACCAGAGCAAATTAAGCCAGTGCTTAGTAATGTGCATGAAACCTGAGCGATGGCCGTTTTCACCACAGTGATTGGCTGTGACGTGCTCACTAGGGTGGGCTGACTCACTATCACCCTCTGAGTTGATTGTATCACGCCCGAATTCTGCGTGTACAACATGCTATTTTATTTTCTAAACAATAAAGTTTAATATCCATTAGCACAATAGTTGTAGACCAATGCGGTCGCTGCATTACGTCAGATTAACATCTGAAACCCAATATTGCTGTAATTCATAACGGCCAATGGCAAGAATGATTATGATCTTACTTCAATTGACTCCTTCCAGTTTCGTTCATCTCATAAGAACTGCGACTCAATATACATCAGACATAAGGTGATTATCCTATGAAATTACAAATTCTCTACCAGAAAAATTGTTAAATAATATTGTTTATACTTTTATCAGTGTCATTGGGTATCTTCAGTACAGTTTTTTAACTTATCCAAAAATACTAAATTTATTTAGTGGTATAAATGTTTCTGAAGAGAAATACATTATTAATATAATTATATTTATAACAATACGTTAAATAAGTACATAGAGTAAAGTTATTAAAGTATATTATATCTACTGTGGATAGTTTCATAAAAATACTGATGTGGAGCTAATTTGTGAATTCTAGTGAAGAGAATAATTAAATAAGATTATATAATAAAGTGGTATTCTTAATTCTAGTTCTAGTAATTAATAATCATATCTACATATAGATAGTGTGTGATGAATATTAATTGAAGCGTTAGAAAAATAACCCAGCAAAATTAGATGAATGATGGTTTTGAGCGTTATCAAATATGATCGAACAAATAATGTGCAAGCGATTTTAAGCATTAACGTAACATATTCCTAAATACTGTTTTTAATCTTTTTCACAGCTGTTCACAATTGTACTGTTCAATAAGCTTAATCGTAAAGGGTTAAAACTGTAATGATAAAACTGAAACAGTGGCTAATTAATTTATGTTAATTAAAATAGTTTTGTTTATTTTATGCAAATCCCCGGTGCTAACTACGAGTATGTATATATTTTATTTTATTTGTTTATTTGCTTTATTGACCACTAATATTGTATAAAAGGTGGACTTAATGCTATAGTATTCTCTCCTTATATCTATATATATATTGTGTATATCACTTTATTATCCATATCGGAAGATTTTTAGTACTTCTTAGCTATAGTTCTGACAACGTGAAAACAGAAAAAATGCCTATTTTACTTCGGGCCATAGAAACGAATCTTATTGCTAACTTAACTAAGTTAAAAGTAGCATGGTTAAAGACCCTACAGAACAGAAAGAAAGCTTTAAATGAATAGTTAATATGTGCGCAGCGTTAGAGATGAGTTAACCCAAAATATTAGTGGGACTAAGCAAGTGAGGGACAAACACTTATTGTTTGTAACCTGAATGATTTGCTGTTGTGTTATAGCCTCTGTTGCTTGAGCAATAAGGCTGTTCAACGTGGCCTCGTCCAGCCCCCCGGGGTTGTTCACCTTTGGCGTACAAACTTCTTAATAAATGTTAGGCTATATCTACTTAAAAGTTAAAGGTACCGTAGAAATGCTATTTTGAATTCGCATAGCATTTAAGTACATTCTATATATATGTTTTTATTGCCATTTAGATTTAAACTATATTTCAACGTCATTAAGTTCAATTTAGTTATCTGTGTAATGAAATGTGTAATAGAACTTTGGATTTGAAAAAGAGTGTAGATTGTACCCGTAATTAACCATACAACACTAGATGGTGCCTACGACTTACTAAATAATTGTGTACATTATTTAATTAACATATATAACAACTTAATAACATATATAAAAGTTATAAATACATTTTACTATAAATAGATTATAAAATGTATATATATGCGAACCTATACTTTGCGAACCACTGATTTTACTGATGAAATCATCATTTCCCACAATACAACACGCGTAGTAAATTATATTTAATAAATTTAGAATAATTTTAGTCGTTAGTTATTTACATTACAAATTTAATTAGAGAGACCACAAAACTTTCATAAAATATAACTATGTAACTATACAATATTAGGTTATAAAAAAAAACTAACCGTTAACGTAAGTGGACCACCTCCTGTAGGTCCTTGAACTATGATGATCGTCTTCTGCATCATATTGCCCGGCAAATTCTGCGTAATATAACTCAGACCACCTGAAACATTTCATGTGTCAAAATAAATGACTTTTATTATATTTTAAGGGTGATCCATACATTAGTTTTATGATTTTTTGATCCCCTCAACCCATTCCAATACGTTTCGTCTTAATCATAGGTTGTTACTTATGTGATTTGTGAGACTCCCTTTCCTAGTGTTACATAGGCATGGCACATTTTACAATTACACACAAGTAGACAGAATGTAAACTCGTCAACAAAATTAACCTTATATAGATAAAGTTGGAAGTATTTTGACGTTATAAGTTTAGTTTATATTTAATACTTAGATTTGGTGTGTGATTTTGTATTAAATTTTCAACGATGTGTGATACATTGTCGACCTCTTTCTCCCTGAACGTTTGACTTAATTTATGGATGGTCTATTTTTAAAAACAATTGAACAATTATCTATATTTACGAATGACGTGGCAACGATTTTTATAATTAATACTTAGACATAGATTGTGTGATTTTGTATTATGTTTTGTACGACACACACACTTAGTATGACGACATAAGTGTGTGTGTGTCGTCACAAATTTAGCCCACAGCCCATCCCCTTGTCACACGATGTCACACATTGCCGACCTCGTTCCCCTGAATGTGTGACTTAATTTATAGATGGTCCCTAAATATATACATTTATAAATAAATTTTATGAGGGTTTAATATAAGAGTCACGTAAAACAATTTGTCAGTCCATTTTCTAAATAATGGAACAATTCTCAATATTTACGAATGACTGAATCATTGTGCAAAGAACTTATAAGGACATTAATTTTAAAGTCCGATTTTACAAATTCAAAAAAATAACAGTAAGGCAATCAAATGGCAGAAAGTTGCGTAATACGATGAGGACCCTGATAACGTAAACTAAATATTAGGAGTATCAGTGCTCTGTTGAAATATGTACTGAAAATTATATTTCTTAGTTGTGTTGAAGTAGATATTTAAGGAAAATTAATGTAAAGAAGAATATGGATTCGTGAATATATATCAGAAAGCGTAAGTATTGTCTTAAAATGAAAAGTGCTAGGTGTATGTAGTAGGATAGGTAGGGGTTGTGTGACATTATAACTGTTTGTGCAGATTGGTTGATACCTACAAAGTGTTTCCACTTACCTTGAGAGGTACCAGGTGTTGCAATAATTTGCATAGGTTGCTGTACAAATTGTGTCGGTTGTGATGCGATTGACTTTTCTGTTGACAAAACGTTAACAACACATTGGAAATATTTCTCTGTATAAACAATTTGAATGAGTATAATGGTAGTATAAAAAAAATATAACCCAAAAAAGACTTCCTTTTTTTAAACACCTTCAAAATTATAAAAGTGCTGTAAAGTGTTTTAATACCAAGATAAAACAAACCATAAGTATTCAAGAAAAAAGCAATTGTTTGTTATATATTCTTATTATAAGTTCATTAATTACCTTGTAAAATTATCTGTCCTGATTGTGATGCGATGATATTTTGGACATCCATAGGCTGCACTTGCAACATCGGTTGTTGTACTTGTAAAGTTGGTTGTTGTACCTTTATTGATTTAATTTTAATTAAAATAACATTAGTATTAACAGTTTGTTAAAAAAATATTCTGATTGTTATAAAAAAATGTTCTTAATACAAATAGTTCAATAATAAAATTGTAATATGAATAAATCACGAATATCGAGACAATTTAATAATCAATTCCAATAATTCATATAATTAAGATTTTTTAACTTAATTTAATTTTTTATATAATAGTTGTGCGTAGGATCTATTAATGGCTAACTGTTTTTATTCACCTAAAATAAGTTGTTTCTTATAGTTGTTGGTTTTCCCGATAAATAAATAAATTAATAGACGCCACTTTTTTTAATCCCGATGGAAAATGAAAATACATGAAATAATGTAAGTTCGAGTACCTGTAAAGTAGAACCCTGCATTTGTAACGTCGGTTGCTGAACTTGCAAAGTTGGCTGTTGAACTTGCAACGATGGCGGTTGCATTTGAACAGCGGGTTGCTGTACCTGTAATATTATATATCATTAATTTTTTCAATGATTCCACTCGATTCTACGATATTTTTTACAAACTGGATACATAAATAACTTGTTCTGTTTTACAATTAATAAGATTTACTGGATTGGTTGATTGAAAAAGTTGCTATAAGTATGACATGTGTCTATGTACATGTCTGTTTTGACATCTTCGCTCCTAATCGAAGGGACCGATTTTGATGCGTTTTATTTCATTTGAAAGTTTATGTGATCGAGAAGTTTCTTAAAAACAATTTATATTTTTTATTTGGAGATACTTAATTCTTTTATTTTATAAATACACATTCAAATAAACGTCATTCATCAGGGAACGGCCTTTCATGCGAGAAACTTTCAGGCAACGTACCCATGACACCCCTTGGTGTTTCAGGCGACCATAGGCTACTACAACCGTTTACCATCATATAGGCCGTGTTCTTTTTACCACCATCGTAATATAAAAATAAAATGATACGAAATATGTTTCAGGTGCAATTTCCCTTTGTTACCTGTAAAATAGGTTCTTGTATGATAACTGAAGCGTTGTCTCCAGTTCCGGCAACCAATACTGACGGCTGTATCACTTCTACTGGCTCTTGTTTTGGGGGTATCTATATAAAATGATTAAAACATATCCTAAAAACTTTCCCTTTCTACCCTTTGGCCCTTTCATAGTTATATTATAAAAAATCATATATGTGCCTTAGAACTTAGATTTAAATGAAATTTGATATGACGCTAGATTTATATAACCTATCTCACCTTCTACGAGGATGAACATAATTTATTACTCGATATCTTTCTCTCTGTCATCACGCAAAATCCGTACATTTATCTCAAAAACATAGGAAGTCTTGGGAAACAACTAGTAAACTAAAAAAAGTGTACACACATAAATACATAATGGAATTGTAATATAACTTCATGTACCCTCTGTATCTTACTACGTCGAGCTGCTAACAACATCCGAGGTCGCTAAGCGAATATAACCATAATGTACAGACATGAAAAAAAAATATTTACTATCTAAATTGATGTTTCGTTACAACATTTATAATATATATTAAACAAAAAAAGATATCAGATATATTTGATGATCTCGGTAATCTAACGGTTTAGAACACCGACTCAGTTCCAAAGGTCGCGGGTTCAGTTGTAGCACGATACAGACATTTACATCAATGATTGTTTTATTGGTCAACAGCAAGGAAACATGTAGAAAACCATGTGATTTCTATTTATATATAATATATATAGAAAACACCTGGTTTTCTTTTTTTACAAAATCTATATAAAATTTTCATAAGCTATTTAGTAGAAATAGTATAAGGTCTACTTAGTATTGAATTAGAAGAATTAAGAATTGTAAAAAATAGTTATAAAATATGTGAGTACAAGCTCTATTTCAAACTTAAATATATAACAGAAACATTTAAGGTATATTCCAATAAAAACACATAAGTACAAACAACATTTCGCGGAACACTAAAATAATTATATTAAATTGTATAATGTATGGCATTATACAATTCAATATAATTATTTTAGTTAAAAATAAAAGAAAAGGATTCTAATTGATACCTTTTAGAGAAAAGAAATACAGTCAGTTATAGTTTAAATACTTTAAAGTTAAAATAGAATTAAACAAAATATTTTTTTATATAATTGGAACGGCAAACAAGGTGTCTGAATACTATTCATGCGTTGACAATCCAGACCACTAAGATGTCATGTCTCCTGCAATTTCACTGCCTAATCTGCATCCTACAATCAAAACAGCTTACAAAGCTGCGTGGCAATTAAGATAGGTGAGACTGAGGTTGGGTATCTCAGACAGACAATTTTTATAGTTAATCTCTGGTGGACTAAAAGTATAAAATTTATAGTTAGAATAGTATAAATAACAATATAATATGTTATTATTATATATTAGTACATAATTATTACGACCTCGGTGGTCTAGCGGTCTAGTCTACCGCTTTACGACCGATGGTCGCGGGTTCGATTCCTCGCACGGCACAAATATTTGTATTCATGAGTATGATTGTTTGTATCGGTCTGGGTATTTTCTATGTATAATATGTATGTATTTACGAAAAAAAAAATATCTATGTATTCATATCAGTTGTCTAGGACCCATAACACAAGCTTTAGCTAGCTTAACTTGGGTCTAGATGGCGCTGTGTGAATTGTCCTGAGATTATTATTATTATTATATTATTATACAATATAACTTGGAATAATTTCTTACCAAATCCTCTTCGTCTTCCAGCGCCGAAGCCGCTAAAGCTGCGTACAAATTAGCTGCAGTTTTCGACACGCTCTCCTGCGGAGAAGTTGTCTGTAAGCGAAATTAAATATGAACTCTAATATCAACTAATTTAGGATTAAATTTAATAAAGGATACGTCCTATGAAATGTTTTTATGTAGTGTAATCTATTGTCTTTAAAGAACTATAGAGCGTTGTGGTCTAGTTCTTTGCTACCCTGAATGTGTAATCTGTTATCTTTAAAAAACTATAGAGCGTTGTGTGTTGTGTTGTATTTGCTATACTGAATTATACCGAATATGTCGTGACTTCAAATCTGGACGACACCATAATAAATGTGTAAATGTATATTTCTCATCGAAAAATATAAGAAAAGGAACACTTCAGTATAAACATTTAAAGAGAATGAGAGAAAATTGTGGGAAGTGGCAAGAGTTCTACGGACAAAAGTGACTGATTCTTTTGTTATGAATGAATGAAATTTTAAGTTAATTGTCACTAATTTGATTATTGAATCACTTAGTAACAATTAACCCAACAAAATTTCATAGAATTAGGTTATTTCAATTTTCCTATAAAATCATATATAAACAAACTCGACCCTTCTCTCGGCCTACCCTTAGAAGATATGATGTGAAAATAGATATACATAAATATATAAAAAAAGCTTAATACAAAAAATACTAACCTCTCTTTTTTCGTCGTACTTCGTCTTCTTACTCGGAGGTTCTGTATATGAATGATCAGTATCAATAATTTCTTTATCAGATTTTATATTCTGTACCACACCCTGTTGTATAATATGACTTTGTATAATATTCCCCTCATTCTTTATTTGAACAATCTGACCTTGGTCATTTTTAAATTGCATCAGTGGTGCCTGTATCTGATCACCTTTTAACTGAATAATTTGACCTTGGTCATTCTTTATTTGAATTATCTGACCTTGTTCATTCTTAATTTGAAAATACTGACCGGGTTGGGATACCAGAGCTGGATCTGCGTTGATTTGTATCACTGGATTAGTGTCAGGTTTGACTTGAACGATTTGACCGGTCTCGGTGATTTGAATGGTGGGCGCGTTTAATTGCGGCGTCATTTGCACTACTTGTACTGGAGGATTTGATTTCTTCTCTAATAAGTCCGCAAGCATTTTATTTTGCGCCGTTTTCTGTAAAATGGAATTATTAACTGTTATACAATTATATTATACGTAGAATATCCAAGCACACAAGCATTTATTCAGTTTAAATTTTGTTATATCCACAAATTATTTATTATTTCTTCTTTTGTCTTATGTCGTTGTAGTCAACCACGACAGTTAATGATGATTATAACGACACTATCTAGAACTAAATACATATTTTTAAAATCTAAAACTGAATACTTACAATAGTTAATTGAGACTGTTCATCTATCTGTATTTGCACCGGCTCTTCTTTTACTGGAACTAAGAGTGTTTAATATTATGATAACGCATTTTGCCTTTAATATAAAAAATCAAAGATTTTTTTAAGAAACCAAAATACACATTTTGAATTACTCACCATATCCAACAGTTAGCCCGTAAAATACGGTTTATATATACCATAGGAAGACTATAATAGACGGCAAGTATAAATAAATGAAGATCAAATTATTAATTATTAATTAATTACTTCAGTAAAACAATACTAATAAACAATTAACTATTGACTTACCCACTTCTTCCGGTGCGTTGATAATAATCTGAAAATACATTCGTCAATCGTTTATCTATACAAATAAATAAAATGTCAGTTTGTAATTTCAAATTAAAGGCTTTTCACTAAGCACAAATGAAAGGCAATAAAAAAATTGTCTGTCTGTCTATTTGTTCTTGCTAATCTCTAAAACGACTAGACTGATTTTAACGAAAGTAGAATGATTTAAACAAAAATTAGAAATTGTATTTACTTTAATAAAAACGAAGTCAACGCGGACGAAGTCGTAGGTAACAGCTAGTATAAATATATATATAAATCTATCTACCAAATTAATGAGACACTTCATCCAGTATCCTGATCCAACTACTTTTTTATTAAAATGAAAAATAAATATAAAATAAAATACATTATTTGTATATAAACGATACCTTTTCACCGACTGGAGTACTACTGGCAACACCGCCGGGCGTTATGGTCGTACATTTGATAAGAGCCTCCGGGTCTACATCCATTGCCTATACAAAATATAACCCGTTACAATCCAATAATCATATGTAAGAAGTTGCACACAAATGTATAGTGTATTTTTCCATCATATAAACAAATTAATGTCATCAAAATATGTGAATGTATTCTACGGCTAGGCTTTACAGAATCCAATCGAAATTGTATCGGTGTTTATTTATTTGGCATCACTTATTTTCGTTAGTATGAAACTCAGATCGGCTTAGTATGATTTTGTCTACCACCGACCTATTATTGAAAGTACAGACGAACACTCAGCATTCAGTCGTGAACGCGAATACGTTAATAAAGTTAAAAAAACTAAGCGATAACTAATATAAATAAGCATGAATTAATCGAGATTCTTATTTGTAATTAGAATTAAATAAATAAGTTTCATTCTTTTATAAAACTCATGACCGACTGTTAGAAAGTAATTCGTACGTAAACAAAAATTCTATTTTACGTATTTCCATTTAGATCACGTTCAAGTCTTCCTCACCTGATTCGACTGCACAACGACTGAGGGTGCTGACGGCGGTCTCTGCTGGTTTTGTTGTCTTTGAGCAACCTACAGGTTCAATAATTAAGAATTATTAGAATGTAATTAGAAATCATTACAATTTATTATATTATTTTATTCTATTATATCTTTTAAGAAAGTCAAACTTCAATCAACAAATTTCCATAACAATAACAATATTTGAATTTAAAATACTTTATTTATTTACTTAATTAAATATTAATAAGAATATTTTTACTGGTATAATTAATTAATTCACTAAGTAGGATAAAATAATTTTAAAACTTGACTTAGCGGTAACTCTAAAATAGAAAATCCAATTTCATGTTCATGTGATACATTTAAAAATTAATTAAAATCTTTGCTAAATGATATAAAACTATATTTAAACAGTTATCAAAGTTGTAATTCGATTGTTATAATAAATCATCAGGTAAGTTTCAAATCAACTTCAATTTCTTTACACGTGCATGCTCAACAAGCGTTGCCGCTAACATGCTATTTCAACCTAAGCCTATAGACTAAATAACATTCTATTAGCAAAGTCAAGAACAGAGCAGACCTATGGTGACATGTCGTATATATTGAGAAGAACAGAGCAGACCAAGCTGGCTCCTAAGTCTCTGGTATTGAGTGTGCTCAACGTTGTAGTTGGTCAATTTTCAGATCTAGACATATTTACTTGTAAATATTTCCAGATCTGCCAGGTTTTCAAAGGATAGCAGTACATTATTTAGGTAGGTATTGTTTGTAATTACATCACAATAATACTAATGAATTTTTTGGCGCTATGACTGCAAGATCATCTAATAGTTGTAGAATTAAAGTACATTAGTATTGGATGTCTATATAGATATTGACGACCGTAGCGGGGCGTAGACCTACATAATAACATGACACTCCGAATAAGTAACTACTTACCACGAAGAAGTTCTAAATGTCGTAATGTAATTTTTTTTAATATTTCCATCTCAATTGTCCTTGACATATATTTTCTAGAATATTCCTTCAATTCACAATTTATTTCTACAATTATATTATATAATATTCAAAACGCAAGTGTTATGAAATTGATATATGTTAACTAACAATTATCTACAATACTTTATTCTTTCTCATCACCAGAATTACTGCATAAATACCGCTGCCCTTACCGAAACATGCAAAACGTATTCACATTAGCTAAGAGTAATCTCAACTCTCAGCTCATATCGTATACATTTTGCACGTTTCCAATACTCAACATCACTAATAGAATGATACTTTGTGTATAAACACTGTTATATGTTAGTCTACTCGTATATCAACTCGACATGCCTGTCTACACTGCGTATTGCTCTACTTCATAATGGTTCCACATACTAACATTAATACTGACTATTCACTTGTTTACAATGCTTTATTGCACCTATATTAAAGTGGGAGATCTTGTGTCTGACGCAATCTTTCCGAACAACTTTAGGAAAGAGAGATTACTAAATCACTCTAACATATAACAAATTTGCAAGTACGTGTAAATTAATTATTTTCAATTATTTTTATTATATAACGGAATACTCGACGAATAACTGTACAGAAGCATAACTAACTAAATTCTACAACGCAACATGCATTATTGCGGACAGGTAAAGTAACGCTATTGCTATTGTTTCCTATTTGAAACAGGTTAAAATTAGATATTTTGCGATTATGTATTTAACTTAACAACTATGGGTACGAACTCATATGAATAAAATTTATGAGATTAAACAAAAATAAAAGGCAGGCAACAGTACCTAAAGGTATTTATATATTATCAATTCAAGTCATAAGACATTCTTAGGAGTAATATAATAATATCCTCAGAATGTCTCTTAACTTATACACATATTGTGAATTTGGAAATTTGTAGAATAAAAAGAGGCAGATAAAAGACTTCTTGATTACCATCATCACCAAGTTTTTTTATAAATATCAAGAGATACCAACAATCAAGTCGAATAATGCTAGTATGTTGAACTAACGCAGTAAAACCATCATAAAACACATGCACATGTCTTTGTGTTTATTTGCAGACATTTTGAATGTCATAAAAACAATACTGTCATGCAAACAACATTACTGATTTCAAAACCATATTTGAAAATACCTTTAACCGCCTTGATATTATATTCTAATCAAATCTATAACATTTTGAACAACATAAAGATAAAGAAACTGTAATGAAAAAGTATATATTAAACAAAACACACAATCTACTATAGTATAAAATAATAATACATTCATATACAATTTTATTTCAATATATAATATACTTATCTCGATAAGTTTCTATTTTATTATGTAAATAAATATAAGAACAAGTTAAGAACACACACGGATGGACCCTCTTTATGAATATGGACGAATATAAAGAAAGAAAAGATGGAGTTAGAGAACACGATTTAAAGAACAGTGGATAACCTTTTTTTAATTTCAACCTATAGTAATGGAATTGAGAAGCGTTGTATATGTAATATCTCATTTATTTATAAAAAAAACCACTAAAGTAAATATAAATTAAAATTATAATAAAAGTAATAAGTTTTTTAAAAAACACATTCATATAGGAAAATTATCGAGGTCAATATATTATACATCTTACAATAATTGTCTAATACTTTTTTACATCAAACTACAATCGTAGCCATACTTTCCTCAACCATAATAAAAATAACCTCCATAAAATGAACTTAAATCTTTTATACAAAACTAAACTAGTACACCAACCCGAAAACCTTTGACTGTGATCAAATTTCACCTGATTAGTGAGTCTCTTGGTTTACTTTAGAAGCTTAGTTCCGGTTTGAAGAGTTAAATATCGCAGTAAAATTTAGAGGAGCATAATAAGCATTCTTTGTATCATTGTTCTTGGCAAAATATGCCAAATAAGCAGTGAAAGAGAAAAATATATATTCAATATTATATTTCAATAAAGATTATTTCTATGAGAACCTCTCAGATATCAGGAACGCGAGACGGGACCCTTAGGTCCCATATGCATCAGCGTGTTATAATGATACGCATGGTACCATTTCTAGTCTATAATAGATGTCACTATTACCTATCACCATACAAAGACTCATTTTATATAGTATTTATCCCATACAATTTATTATTTCAATCTCGTTAACCAAAAAATTTTAGAATTTCATTTGTCAAAGACGTGTTTAATCCTCCATTATTCTCTACAAAATTACCTAAACCGGGACTCAAATCCAAAACCGAAAACCATATCACCAGACATACACCCTTTCACAGCACCCTAGTATGGCTACGACCACGAACACACTGCAAGGCAGTTAGTACTGTTAGTATGCACTTACTTGATGCTGTTGGTGTGCGGGGCTTACTTTGTGGGCGAGGAGATGCTTTATCAGGGTCGTGTTCGATGAACCTGACTCCAGTGCTTGAGAGAGATGCGGATGGGAGACCACCGGCTGCTGTGGCTGAGGCTGTTCACCAAGTTATTTATGAGTTAATAATGAGTGGACCCTTTTATTTTTATTCAATTTAATGACAAAAAAAGATGGATGGATTGTGTGAAAGATGATATATAAAAAAGGAGAGTAGACTGATATCTGACGGTTGATATAACCAGTGAAATTAGATCCACTTTACGTGTTAAAAAGAAACTTAAATGATCGAGTAATAATCATATATACTATGACGTAATGTTACCTGCGATTGTGTTACTACTGGTTTGGCTTCGGCTGGTTTATTCGTCAATTGCGCCTTCAGAATTGGAGACGATGGTCCTGTCAAAATCAATATAAAAATAATATGTTTGTGTATTTTTTATAATTAAAGTATTTCTATCTGTAGTTTCGTAGCCATAGTAACTAAGTTCTCTTAAGTTTGGGTCTAGTCGTCAGTAAACAAATTTACATACAAAAGTTTTTATGTCGACCAGATTTGAACCTACGATTTTTCGATCTTAGTCGGGTTAGTAAATCAAGTCACGCAGCTATCAAAAGCATACTCGAATAATTAGGGTCGGTCTATAAATTAAGTTACACTAATTCATTTATAAAATAAATATAACTTTAACACAAATAATTTATATTTTGTGTATGTATATTAATTTTTGAAATGTGATGTCCGTAATGTCGACCTCCCATCCCCTCAATGTGTGACGAAATTTATGACGACCCTTTATAAAGTTCTTATCTTTAACTAATCATGATGTTGTTATTACTAACCTGCTGGTGGATTAGGTCTATTCTGTGCATTTCTTGAGCGTATACCAATATACACTTGTTGTGTTTCTCCGCTGGATAATGTGACAGTGTTGGGGCCCACTGTACCACCGAATACCGTCCTATAAAAAATATTCAAATCATTACGATAGGTGGAAAAGGAACTGTACTATGAAGAGGGAAAAGGAGGGGATCAGAGTGCCCACCTTATTGAAGACTATTACTGACAATTTACACTGCCTGAGATTGTAAATTCAATATCCGCGCGGTCCATACTCGTGACCGTTTAAGTTAATTCCTGGTGAATTCAGACTGCACTCCCATACATAGTATTCTAATCATCTTCCATTGGTGCTCTACCAGCGTCTACCGTTGGCAGTAAGCAAGCAACATCACTTCATATTGGGTCATTAAAAAAACTCTATTCTCTATTTTAAGTAAGTCTATTCGACTAGAATGAATAAGTGATATCAGGTCAGAAAATTTTAAAAAAGGTCTGTTTGTTAATAAATTTATTTATATGCTCTTTATGCACCGGAAGTAAATGACAAAAAACATAAACAGAAGTAATAAGGTACAAAAGGCGATCTTATCGCGTAAGCAATCTCTTCCAGACAACCTTTGGGTAGAGGAGAGATGACTTAGGCTTTGAAGCGGGCTACCGGAAGGGAAACTCCAAACAGCACCCGTGACTTGTGACACGGGTGTAGGTATAAAAGGCCCTTTTAGAATGCATTAACACTCACCTTCGCAACTTGTAGTTTCCTCCTAGGCCCTAGATTTTTTCTACTATATTGATGTGAACTCTAGCACAAGTAATACACAAAACAGAGGTAGGATGTAAAGGCCACTATACCACAAATATCTACCTGACAAGACGTGGGAAATGCGCGGGAGCGATGACCCCCTTTCGGCCAAGCTTATTGCAACAGGCGAGGTACTGGCGATACAGTTCTGCAGCATCACTAGCGCTGTTGTCATTCGCTGGCAGCGGCTCGAAACTTGATCTCAACCACGCTTGTGCGAAGTGCTCGTTCTCCTTTACACAAAGAAATAATACAATGTATATAGTACTATATATATAATGTACTATATATATAATGTACTAGAAATACACAAGGTAATAAATAAATTTAAAACATCGTTTAAATCATATTTATTGAGCAAAGCCTATTAGTCACTATATACGAAACATAAAAACTTTTTTGTATGCTGAATTTAGAATGAATAGCATTCATTCATTTTATAAATAAATTAAATTAGAGATGTGCAAATACCAAGGCGTATTTATTTATCTCCACAGTTTCACTATGATTTACATAGTTTTGGTCCTTCGAGCCAACTCCGATTTCTTAAATAACAAATGTGCATGGCAATAGTCGTTCATGCACAGTATTCATTTAATGCTAAACGTCGACACCTGTATATGTATACAATGTAAGTAAACTGACATTAAAAAATATTAAGTACAAAATCGTGACGTTCATAAGTGGCTAAATTTCTTAAATGAAATTATATTCGAATTTGAACACTTATTAATACAATCAATATGATCTACACAAATAGTTTATTTTCACAACACAAGATACATTACACAAAGAGCATGAGCCTTATCCTTTTAAGTTTATACTAAACCTGACTTATTAACCAGATTTATCTCCATGTGGGCCTAATACCAATTATGTCAATAGACATCGATTTCGAGATAATTTGTATCCAATAACGTACTTTAATTTATAGTGCATGTAATATAAATAGAACATATATGTGTATACCTGCACAGTCCTCTGTTGTAAATGCGACTGTTGTATGTTGGAGAGTGGTGTGGTGGCGGCGGCTGTCGCGGCGGTGCTGTTGGCGGCGGCGGCGGGGGCGGCGGCGGCGGCGGCGGGGGCGGGGGCGGGGGCGGGGGCGGGGGAGGCCGCGGGGGCTGCGGGGGACTCCGTCACTGTCTTCAACGCCGTGTGCTGCAAATAATGATAGTAATACAGTAACAGTAACAAGACAACAACACTAAGTATTTCCCTTTGATGGGGTAATAGACTGTCTATTACCCCATCAAAGGGAGAATTACAATTTAATATATATATAAAGAAATAATAATAATCTCAGGACAATTCACACAGCGCCATCTAGACCTAAGTTAAGCTATCTAAAGCTTGTGTTATGGGTCCTAGACAACTGATACAAATACATAGATAATTTTTTTTTCGTAAATACATACATATTATGCATGGAAAATACCCAGACCTATACAAAAATCATACTCCTGAATACAAATGTTTGTGCCGTGCGAAGAATCGAACCCGCGACCATCGGACGTAAAGCGGTGTGCTAGACCGCTAGACCACCGAGGTCGTCAGATAGGAGATTAGTATAGTTATGTACGGGTATGTACTATGTGACACTTGTGGTTTACAGTTTTTGTCTTTATTGTTAGTTTTTCAAGTCTATACTAGCTATCCCGGCAAGCGTTGTTTTGCCATATAAGTAAATAATTAGCCGTTTTGCCATATAATTAGATGGTAGAAGGGTGCAAATTTAGGGTTGTGTTTTAATGAATTAATTAATGTAATGTATTAATGCCACATTATTAAAAAAAATGTCAAATAAATAAAAATAAAATGTAAAGGGTGAAAAATACTTATCAGTTAGGGATATGTAAAATAGATAGTAGCCAATTCTCAGATCTACTGAATATGCATATAAAATTTCATAAAAATCGGTAAAGTAGTTTCGGAGGAGTATGGTAACATATCAATTACTATTTATAATACTAGTTTAGTCAGTATATAATAATTAAAAAGTAAATAAATAATAAACCTGAATATGTCCGGTTGTGGTCACAATCTGCCGTTCAGCGGCTTGATCACGGTCGCTAGCGCTTACAGCGCTCGAAGCGCTTGCAGCGTTCGCCGCATTAACTGCAGCGAGCGCACTCGGACCGCTTACTGTTTCCACGACGCGCATTAAAATACACGCACGTGGTCCGTAGCTTTGTGCCTGTACGAACATCACAACAATGAAACAAGTACATATTACTCTAGAAAATTTGGCTGTATGGTCTTGTATCTTTACCTGTCCACATATACATCACAACAATGAAACATAACCCAATCTAACAAAAGATGTGGCTGTATGGTGTTGTTTGTATCTTAGCCTTTCCAGCTGTGGATAAAATAAACTACTACTACTATGTAATAGACTACTAGAACATATTTAATTTCTGTAAGATGCTTGATTTAAATAGCAAGTCTCATTCAATTACAATACAGTATAAACAATCTCGTTCTTTATTTCAGAAATATATATTTATCTATTACTACTATTCAACTGCTTTTTGTTTTACCCAATGATTAGCTGTTAGAGATTGTCATATAGCATTGAGTTCTATGTTAAATAGTGCAAGAAAGAATAAAAAATAATGTTTGCTGGAACATATACCAGAAGTGAAACTTCAACGGACAACGCGATATAACATCTACTCATGCGACAGTAAAGCATTTTCGTGACCAGTAAATGATAATATACCCCGTCTATATTTCACTTCAATAAATTAATAATAAAAAAAGAAAAATCACCGAAGTACAATTCTATTGGTAAGTACACTGCAGTCAGTATAGGGCCCGCTTACCTCAACAGTGACAAGTGATACAAGCGTGTGAACGAGACCGGGCACGCGTGCGACTGCCTCGCTCGCACGGTCGCCCAGTGACGTCAGCGCGTACACGCACTCCAGCGTACACACCAGCACCATGATGTCGCGGAGAGTCAGCAGAGCGCACACGTCTGCGTACACCTGCCGTACACATTTAAACATACAAATTAACCAGTTGAACTGAGGTTCGAACCTCTAGCGGTATTCACAGAGTAAATTCTTATGCCATCAGGCAGACATAATAATCTAATGGTAAGTAGCAATCGTCGCCTTTATACATGTATTGACCCCCGTCCAATTGAAAAGTGGATCGAAGTTGCGACGGCCTGAGCCTAGGTTCGTAAAGCCTAAAATCGTATCCGTCAGAAAGGAGTTGGCTTTCAGCCGCTCCATAAGTTCTTCCGCGCGATTGTAGTACCATCTGCACTCGCCCCCTATCGTTCGGTGGAGCTGTAAAAGTCAGCTACGGCCAACTGCATTAGAATATTTCCAAAAAAATAATTGATGAGTTGAGCCAAGTTTCCAACCCCTAGCGGTACTCTCATAGTAAAGTCGAAACCGTCAGGCAGGAGTTGGCGGAGAAATTTGATCAAAATGGTGTATTATATATCTGTATGTTTAAATAAAATATTATTTTTACGATATAGCCATTATGTTGAATTTAAGAATGTAGAGCAACATTGTTACAGAGTAATGAAAAATGATTGGTCTAGTCAATATCCATAATAAAATCTAATATTAGTATTGGTTAATTGTGAACTAGAAGATAGCAAAGTGTAACATCTAGACTTTTACGTTCTATTTGTCTACATACACATTATTGCCTGCTTGAAAAGTGCGTGTAAAGACACCTAATGATTGTAATGATAACCCACCTTAGCCTCCAAAGCCTTGAGGAGCGCGTCTTCATTGGCCTCGTTCTGAGCGAGTTTGTTGAGCAGCTCGAGAGCGGCGAGCACTCTTGCCCGGTCTGGCGACACCAGCGCAGACTGTATCGTCGACAGAACGTGTCGCGATATCAGACACGTGGCTGGATCCTGTCGAATATAATATCTATATAGTACCTATATCCTATTATTATCTATATATACGTGAAGCAAAAACTTTGTACTTTGAAAATTGCGCTGACAGAGAAAGTATGAAATCTGCAGACTGGTAATTTATATGGAGAATAAATGCAGAATGCTGATATATTCTTAAAATTATGCATAAATAATACATTAAATCAAGAAAAACTAATTAATATACACACATATTACGTTTTCTTTGTCTACATTTACATGTACATTCAATCATGCGTGAAAGTCTATTAACATGTGAAAGAGGGCACGTATAAAGGCAGCAAATGTGTTGACATACCTTAATAATAAGTTCAACTGACACATTGCCCAATGTATCGAGTCCGGACTGCCGCAGCGTTCCCACCCAGCAATTAGCACATAACAGCAAAAACCTAAAAACAAATATAACTCATTATCAATTTCATACTTAATGAATAACAAATCAAATAATTTATGTGGGAGGGAATGCGATTATTAATAATATGAACTAAAGAACCCATTGCTAACATTGTAACATGTCAGTACGACCTCCATGCGATTCCCTTCGGAAACCATTGTGATAAGTTCCTGGTGAATTTGTCACGATGGGCTAACTAACCTAAACACATACTCATCTTATCATCCTCCACTGATACCTCGCCAGCGTAAACCGTTAGTGCAAGCGAGAGCACCATTCCATTGTCATCCATTAAAAAAAACCCCTAGCAGTGCCTCAGGCTGAAGTCGTATTCATTAGGCAGGAGTTAGCGTTCAACCGCTCCAAAGTCCTTTCGCGGATTTGGAGTGCCATCTGCACTCACACCGTATCGATGGAAAATCAATTATATCAAAATATATGTATTTATGTATGTCTATTACAAACTCTTATCTCTATTTTATATCTTTCTGAATAAAATAGAAAATTGTACCAAGATATTATACTTATTATGAATGCACATATATTATATACAGCTTAATCACTATACAGCAACTCACCTGATAAGCGTAGTGTTTTTAGCCAGATATTGCACATTTTCCTCATGGAACGACAGGGAACGAACTATAGAAGCAATTTGCAGGACTCTCTGTGTATACACACACGACGCTCCGCCAGGTAACTCTGGTGCGAAGAGCTGGTTCTCTTCTGACGGTTCAGTAACCCAGTCTTCTATTTCTTGAGACTTTGTAGAGACACGGTTTAACATAAAATTCTGAAAATATTAGGAAAAAATACGCATTAAATCTTCATGTAATTCCTTCTTAATAGTCCTAATTATAGTTTTTGAGTTAATCCAGTATTAGGTGTGGTTATATATCAATAGGGTAAAATCAATATTACTCTATTACTTAATGAATTTATATATTTTTGTTTAATTCCGCTATCATTAGCACATGTCCACAAACATTCAGTGCAGAAACCTGATTTTCCTACTGAAAGACGTAACTCGTAATACTAATTATATCAGACATAAAGATATTAAGAAATTAATAATGTTTACCTCTTCAACGATCTTCTCCGCCCTCTCAGTGATATCCCCAAGTTCATCTTCTTGCATTAGACAGTCGGTGAGCGCATTGTGGGCAGCTAGTGCTTGCACCATTAACTCTGGCTGTTCTACACCTGGCTGCATAAATTTCATTTCATCTGCTAGTTCTTTAGCCCCTCCACCACCAGCTCTCATGCTCCAGAAATCATCTGGATACCGACCTCGAGCCTCGAAGTATGAACGGCCAATTGTGTCGCGTAGACTCGCTATTGAAATGATATACTACGTTAATATTAACATGTCTATCTCGCTATAGAGATCAATAAAAACATCAAAACATAAATTTATATTGTATAATAGTTAGTTGCAAACCAACTGCAGTAGGGATGAGCAACACGCGGTTCGCATGCTGCTTGCGGCCCGTTAAACATGTTTACGCCGACCGCCAAACATTTATATAATTGATATATTTTTTTCTCTTATTACTTTCTCCCATCAATATTTTGTTATAAAATTAATTATAATAAAATGGTAGTACATATTAAACAGAAACATTTATGTGACGAATTACTCACTTATTGGCGGTTTTATTCAAACATGCAATAGTGACGTTTGCATTAAAATATGTATAGGAAATATTTTTAATTATGTATTATTTTTATTCCTGTGTATAAATAAAGTTACATTATTAATAGGTATTACATTACATGCGGCCCTCCAGGAAAATTTAAAATTTTAAGTGGCACATTGATTAAAAAGGTTGCTCACCCCTGGTTTACAGTATTTTATCGTACTTACAGTGGTTATAAACACCAGCATGAGCCAATAGGAAGTCCAATATATGCGGAGTGGTTGACAAAGGTAATCTGTTTGAATGGTCTGCGGCCAAAACTGTGCACACATTCACAGCGAAATCCTGCTCGTTCGGCATCGGAGAGAGAAGTGAGAGGGCCAGCCTTTCTGAGGGGCCTGCTATACGTGTACCAGTTTGAATGGTCTCTCCTGAAGCTATAGAAATTGATAGGTTAGTTACTACTCTACCCACTTAGTGAGTTAGTAGGTAATTAATACTTCACAGGAGGAGAATCATAGTGAGTATGGCATCCTCGTCAGATGTTTGAAGATGAAGGTAAAAGAAAAGGTCAAGACAGGTTCAGAATAGACAAGTGTGCATATCATAAGGTAAACTACAGTGCAAATAAATAAGTGTTATTAGATATTGCTTCTTTTAACTTATCTTCTTTTTTTGGAGGGGATAAAATACATGCAGTTAGGAAATAAATATTTAATAAGAAATTAGAATAGGATTATTATGTAAAATTAAATTATTAAATATTTAAAAAAGTCGAAAAATAAAAAGATAATACTCTGACAAGGATGTAAATCTGTATATTAGATATAATGTATAAATATTACAAATCAACCATTTCTTTTTAATGAATATTTAACAATGAATACTTACTTCTGTACTACTATTTATCTTTAAAATACAGATTCTCTCACTATGCCCCCCTCACTGATTAATTACCTGAAATATATATACCACCACCGAATGATATTCGCGGCATTCCACCCCCTCGGGTCCTCCTGGGGTCCTCGTCCATGTCATTGTCGTCGTCTCTACCTGGCGGACCCTTGGCCCTTTCATATCTATCAACATCATGTGGTAATACATTATTAAGAGTCACAATTACACAAGTAATTAGAAATGCTAAGAGAATATATTTAAAGTACTGTGGAATAGAGAAACACACTAAATCATCTATACATATAAATAAAATTGGAGTGTCTGTTTGCAATATTGAATATAACCGTTTTTTTACTACATGCATATGAATATAAATACGGTATATACATTACGGTATTTACGGTATATATTTGTCTGTTTGTCTGTCTGTTTGTTCCGGCTAATCTCTGAAATGGCTAGACCTATTTTGACGGGACATTTTTTGGCAGGTAGCTGATGTAATAAGGAGTAACTTAGTTTACTTTTATTTTAGAAAAAGTTTATAAAAAATAAAGTATATAAATTCTATGCGGACAAAATCGCAGGGACAGCTAATAACTAAAGACATTAAGACTAGAAAGATTTCAACTATTTTTGTTAAAAACCTACAACCTACATACAGACTCATTCTAGCTGATGAATAGACTATTCTACAGAAATTCTGTAAAATAAATTAAAATAGATAATTTATTTTTTTTCTTGTTTTATAAATAAAAATACACATATTTGTCTAAATACACCAGGGTATTGTCTTAAGAGGCCTTTCACATTTTTTGGCCTAAAAGCAGGGTCTTTGGGGTTCTGGTTCTAAGAAATTAAGAGTCGGATATACATTTTGATTCCTGAATTATATAGATAGATATCTAATCTTAAAAACAACATCTTTGAAATGTTAATTTTCTCTTTGTTAGTCTTCCTAATTTCTAAAATAGTTTATTCAAAAACGCTAAGAGACAGAAGTTTGGGGTCGTCGTTCATTAATAAACAAACATAAATTGATATGATATCTGTACTAAAACTTGATAATTACTTTATAAATTGAGACAGCATCGTCCTTTTTTTCATTTTCAACTTAAATATCTAAAAAATTGATCATAATTAAACCCGAAATTTCAACAAAACTTTGCCATAATCATTTCTAATTTTCTTATAAATACAACGAAATTTATGCATAAAAAAAACATAATAATAAAGTTAATATACTTGTAAATTAGAAATATAAAAAAAAATATATGTTTCTAAGAAAAAAATAAACAATAATAATAATTTAAAGTTGTATAAATTCCGTTGCGCCAAAAGTAAATTCTCAGTGCTGCGCTAGCGCTCGTCGAGGTAGGACCTATGCTATTTTTTACGACACCGCTACGATAATACATTCGTAAACATTTGTCAGTGAACATTAGTATAGTGCGGCTAAACAATTTTGATAATTTAAGTAATATTTAATTAATTTTGCTAATATATACTTATTTCTACAAATATTAATTTAAAGTTGTTGTTAAATATATATATATATATATATATAATATTTATTTTACAATGCCAAGATAAAAGTACAGTTATGCTACAAATAAAACCTACCTACCCTGCTGCACTATGAAAAGCACAAGAGCATGGTATTTCGTCACACTAATGGCAATTAATTGTTAAAATTAAAAAAGAGAACATTTTAGTATTTTTGAAAATAACGCTTATCTGAGAGAAAAATGTAAGAAAATGTAAACCAATTTTACTTTATGTTTATTTTGTAGTTCTTTCTAAATTAAAATAGGGTTATTGTTTATAAAAATACCATTATTATTTTTACTTACATTTGTCTTGTGTTATATCATCTAGTATGCAATGTGGATTGTAAATAAATTACCAAATTATATATAAATTATATTCCTTAATGTTTAGAGATATTTTATCCAATTTACTTTATTTTATTTTACACAATACAGATATTTCTAAATTGCAGCCATTCTGTTATTATACTCGTTGGACTTTCATTACTGTACAGTTATGTCAAATAATTATGCATGTTTGGGTGAAAAGTCAACAACATTATAAATGTTTTTATTTAGAGACTAGCTTTTAGCTCGCGGCTTCGCCCGCGTATATGGGATATATAGGTTATCGCGCGTTTAAAGATCCGTGTACAGTATTGGGACGTTATATATAAACCTTCCTCTTGAGTCTATCTATTCTGTCTATTAAATAACAACGAATCAAAATCTGCGTAGTTTTTTAAGATCAAAACGTACATAGATCTATTACATGTGTAGATGATATTTTAACCGGAAATTGAAGCCGTTAAAATGGTATTGGCAGATCAGTTGGAATCATCGGTATTCTTGGTATATAAGCTGGTTGCCCAGCTAACGTACCGGTTATAATGGTCTACAATTAAATTGTCTTTCAATTCTTTAGTAAGCAACATATCCAATGGGACGCCATTGCACATGTTCGGCGGGCTTAAATTTCATGACTGGATCATGCTTTTGAGAAATTCCTTCCTCAAGTTTGAGCAGTTAGTGTGGGAAATCACTATCTGTGCTTCCATAAAAATGAGCTCTCAAATTTGTCAGTAGTTTTAAACTTTCAATTAAAGTCCATAAGGGAGACGATGTTAATGACACAGAGAGTCTTTCAGAAACCTCCAGCAAAATTATAAAAGTAATCCCGCCAATGAGAGCAGAGGTGTTTCTAAGGTCTTTTAAGGTTCTGTCCAAAATCTCTATAGCTCATGGTGATTTCATTACATATAATCAATGAGGCGTCTTGTAATAATTTATAAAAAGGTTTGATATTAACAAGTAATTATTTGTCAAGAATCAAGAATCGGCCAACCAAGAACGAGAAGCTGCAATATCAGCCAATATCATGCGGCGACGTCAATAATGCAGGAACAGCAATGATAGCAGTTGAAGCTTTTTTTACAACTTAGAATGGCAAACAAGCTGACGGCTCTCCTGATGGAAAGGCGTACCCGTCGCCTATATACATGAGCAGTACCTGACATGTCCATATCAGCATATTGTTTCCCTCATGCGTTGCCATTCCTGAAAACTCGGGTGTTATTCCCCTGTACCCTGTAAATTCACTACCATATATATACACAGGTAGTCTATATAGATAGATATACATATACACAGATAGTATACCCTGAGAAAGGTCATAGACTACTTTATAGTGCGAAAAAAGTATTGTAAGGGATTAAAAGCGGAGATGAAAGGTTGTATAAAAGTATCGTCATTGTTTAAGTGAAACAATTAAACTTTTTTAGGTTATAATCTAAATATATTTCCTTTATTTGGTCAATTTCATTATACCACGCTGACGAAGTCGCGGACACACCTAATATACATATAAGGATGGGACCTTTAAATCAAAACAAAGCCTTGAAAACACAACTATTATATATAAATAAAGTAATTATTTGCTAAGTATAATATTTAGATCAAGTGAATATGGCAATAATGTATCCGACTCTTATAATAAATTATATTGTATCTATTAATAAATAAACTGAATTAATATGTAAGAAGAATTAATTAGTAAATTTATGTTATAGTAATTTCATCTTCCTGTCCTTATCCCAATTATTTGTTACTCATATTACTTAAGGTTTTGGCTTTTAGTTGTACAATCGGCCAGCATCCTGACATCAACCCTCTAGGAATAATATAATAAAAAAATATGGTCATTATTAGCACTTCGATAATTAAGATAAATCACATTATTTAAAAAAAATCCAATAAGTAGTTTATGTTACTCAGTTAAGTAGAAACATATCACATTATTAATTAAAATATTACAAGGATCAAAATGGTTCATACTAAATCCACACCGATTGCGCTACACGGTTATTTGCGTCTGTGTGCGTGTATTACTGTGTGTGTGCGTAAATCCATGCGATTAAACCTAAAGTTGAGCGGCATCATTTTGTAATAGGCCTCTTAACATAAAAAAATTGTTTTATACAGTCTCTAAGTCTACAAAATTCAATACAAATTTCCTCAAATTTATTATAGACTATTTAATTATAAAAAAATATTGTATTATATTTCATACTTACTTTTCTAAATGCATTCCATAAATTCTACGTAGTAGTGTGGAACCATTGACACATGGATGTGGTAGTCGCAAGGGTCGCAAGAATGATTCCCATGAGTCATTTTGATTTACCTAAATAAAAAAAATAAAATTATAATAATATATTAATCAAATTGTACACATTCTATAAATGGAAGATTTGCCATGATAATATTTTTTATAGTGTAAAAGAACAGTAGGCTCAGGTATGATTGCTATGGAATCAGTGGATATAGATGAATATACTGCACCAACCCCAAATAATGAGATAAAAGCATGGCAATAATGATGATGATGATGAACATTTTTTACGATTCAAGTTTAAAACAATGATTTAAAACTTGCTGTGGTAAAATGTAATACAGGGTAAGTTCAGGTTACAATATTCATGAAACTGAACAACTTGGAAGTTTTTAAAATATATATAATGCCCATGTGACTATATAAAGTAATAAAAATTATTTAATTTCAGTTCTAATAATAATAATAACACAGGGCCAACTAGTCCAAAGTTATGGGGACTAGACAACTGATAGAAATATTAAAATAATAGTTTTTCTGTACACATAGAAAACATCAAATAAAGGGGGAAAGTGCATTGTTAGTAATGTGGACTACTATATCCACTGCTGGCAATTTACCAAGTCAGGTTGATCTCCAAGTGGTTCCTCCTGGATATAGTCCAATGTGCATAAAAGCCTCCTACAACTTGCACTATGATTTTCTATTTATAGGTACTCATCTAATTTTCACCTGCTGTTTCTTTAATGTCATTGGACTATCATTTTCTCTGTCTACCTACTTGCCTTTTGCCTGCCGGTCCTAGACATTTTGTTAATTGGTAAGTCCACCTTTTGTCTCCTTTACAATTAACCTTGCACAAACCATCGCTTACCTTACTGAGGCCCCCTCGTTGTTGTACCAATGAATAGAATTGATATAAGTCAATTTCCACACCATTCACTACCGGTGTCTTCCATGGTATACTAAAATTAAATTAAAACCAAATGTAATGTAATTAGTTATACATATAAGCATATACAAGACATATCACAATTTTCTTTGTTCAACTGTAGCCATATTTTACAAATAAATGTATGGGTTTAAGAAATATATCTATTAAACACAAAAATTTTTATAATATTCATATTCAATGGATTTGTATATATATGTAAGTACACAATGTAGACTATCAAATAAGAGCACAATTAATAACATCATCATAATTATAACAACAAGTATAATAAAGATAACAAGGTGTTGAAATACAGTTATAAATTAATTTATAAGCTTATATTTAAACATGACTAAAAAAGTAAAATAACAGCAATACTTACTTCTTGGATTCATTAAACTGTCTAAGTTCCCTTAGGAAACCATCTTTATCCTTAATGTAATTACATGATTTTGTATTTATTTGAGATTTTGCCATTTTTATAGCTGATAATCTTCATAAAATGTAACCAATAAAATCAGACTATATTTTCTATTTACCATAGAAATAGGTATTATATCGAAGGTATTTATTATTTTTAAATCACATAGTTAATAAATATTTATTAGAAATTATACACACACTACAAATTCATTAAAATAACACAAATTAATTATTTTTTATAACAAAAAGTCAGGTAAACGGACTTTTGACAAACAGTGACAGAGAAGCAAGATAAGACGCCGCCGCCGCCGGCATCCAGTGTTGGGCACTCTGTGTCAAATTTTTGTGCTAAAATCAATAGATATCACAGCCAAAATTGCAAACTAACTTAAATTTGAAAATTGATTCATAAATAACTACAGAATTCCGATAATATGTTATATAATTGTTCACGCATAAAAAAGAAACAAAAAATTGTGGTTTATAAATAAACCTCCCTATATTTAATATATCAAATTACCTTTTTATCGCGACACATATAATAACCGAAAATACACATGTTTGTCCGAATGCCAGAAGTTACTACATTATTAATTACTGTACCACTAGGTACAGTAATTAATTATTACTGAGTGCTACTTGGAATTCTATTCTTGGAATACTTGTTACTTTGGAATTCTTGTAATTAATGAGAATTCCAAAGTAACGACAACTAGATACTTAGTAGGTACGTTCCATTTGCAAAACCTTCCTGTCTACATGTATATTTACTTATAAGATTTCCATCAATGCTCCCTTCCGTTTGTTTGTATCTTTATATGACATAATATGTTGAAATGGGAGATATTCCGAGTGAAATGACCTAGATAATGGATATTTTTAATAAAATACGAACATGATGTTAAACGTAACTTTTTTAATCTATCAATATATTTTTTTAACAATGACAGAATTTATTACTCAAATACAATTATGTATATTAACCTCTATGTTCATTCAACATGCCCCCTTAATTGTATTTTAATTTAACATGTATTTAACACTCGTGAACGAGTGCTGCTTGTAGGGACTGGTCTGCTCTTATCACTACGACTGATTTAATCTTATTGCATGATTATATTTGACCCAAAAAATTAGTGCTTGTTGGTAGTTTGTATTCACACGTTTCGACTTGTAAATGTAAACTTACAAGGATTATTTAAAAGAGCAACACACAAGTTTCTTGCTCGTTCTTCTTGTGATGAGACAGCTTTCCGAACGAGTGGTAGATAAAAAACAAATTGTTATGACTATTCAAAAGTGCTTAAATTAAGTTTATTTGAATAAATGATTTTCTATTCTTCTATTCTATTCTTTAAGAACTAAGTAATTAAGAACACCACTAAACATTTTAAGAAAACTACTTTAAAAAAAATATTAATATTACTTACTCACTGAACTATAACTATTACAATAAACAAATAAAAAAACCTTCTGTCTTAAAATAAAATAAAATTACTTGTATAGTTGCCCCCTTAATTTAAATAAGAAAATTTTACATTTCCAAGAGGCTTCGTCAGAATATCAGCAATTTGATGCTCAGAGGGGCAATATTTTATTTTTAAAAGTCCTTCACTGACTTTTTCGTGTATATAATGATATCTGACATCGATGTGCTTTGATCTTCTGTTCATAATACCGTTGTTAATTAAATGAATTGTACTTTGATTATCTACATAAAGCGTTGCATTAACTTCTTCATTTACTACCTCACTAATTAAGTTTTTTAGGTACATTAACTCCCGGCAACAATCTGCAGCAGCTATATATTCGGATTCCGATGATGACATGGCAACTATGGGCTGTTGTCTTGATGACCATGTAATAGGACCTCCACATAGAAAGATTATATAGCCTGTTGTGCTCTTTCTTGTATGTGGATCATTAGCATAATCAGCATCACAATAAGCTTCTAAATGTAGATTACTGTTATAAAATTTAATACCTGAATTCGATGTCCCTAGCAGGTACCTTAATATTCGTTTTCCATTAATGACATCTTGCTTTGTTGGTTTTTCCACTCGTCTACTACAAAAATTGACCGCAAATGCTATATCAGGACGAGTTTTATTAGCAACATATAATAGCGACCCTATAAGTTCTCTGTAAGGAAAATACGAATTATTAAAATCAATTTCTTCATCTTCTGTCTCTATTTTGTTTGCTCCGATGCACATTGGTATTGGAGTACTTTTAGCATCTTTCATTTCAAATTTATTTATTATTTTGTTAATGTAATTTTCTTGTGTTAATGTAATATGATTATTTTCATTTTTATTAATTTCTATTCCTAGAAATAAACTAGGTTCTGTATTCAACGTCATTTCAAATTCATTTTCCAGCTCTTTTATTAACTTCTCCATTTCTTTTTTATATTTTCCCATGAGTATTCCATTGTCTACATAAATACCCAATATAAGTGATTCATTTTTAAACAAACATTGATCAGCTTTTATAGGTAACAATCCTTTATTTTTTAAATATGATGTAAATCTCTCGTTCCATTTTAATGGTGCTTGTTTTAAGCCATAGAGTGATTTTTTTAATTTTACATATTTTTCTTCATAACCCTCTGGTAACTTCATGTATATATCTTCCAATAACTCTCCATATAAAAAAGCTGTTTTAATGTCAAATTGCATAATATTGTAATTTTTATATGCAGCAATAGCAAACATTGCTCTTAATGTACTTGTATTTATTACTGGACTGTACGTTTCCGTATAGTCGATTCCTTCTTTTTGTTGACAACCTTTTACTACTAATCTAGCCTTATAGCGACCACTTTCCTTAATTGTAAATACCCATTTTGCCGTTAGTATATTTTTATTTTTTACTTCTTCCACATCTATTACATTCCACGTATTATTTTGCTCTAATGATTGCATTTCATCTGCTATAGCTTTTTTCCATTTTAATTTATCATCTCCAGATATTGCTTCTTTGTATGTTAAATATACGAAATCTGGATGTATATTTCGTTTCTTTTCTCTTTTTCCTCTACCTAGTAAAGTATCATCTTCTTCTATAATATTATTATTGTTTGAACAACATGGAGTATTCTGTAAAAAATTTGTTTGTATGTCTTGTGACTGTTCTTTATCTTGTTCATACTTATCATTCATACGTACCATCTCTACCGTATCATTAAAGTTTTTAATTTCTACATTGTCATTTTGGCAATCCGTTAACAAAGGTGTATTATTATGTTTTTCCTTATTTATATTCATATCAAAATCATTGGCTATTTCATTAACATCATTATGAAAAATTACATCTCTCTCTACATAAATTTTTCTTTTCTCTTCCGACCACAATCTATATCCAGTAGGAGCATATCCAACCATTATTAATTTTTTGTTTCTAGGTTCAAGTTTTTTTAAATAACCAAGTTTTTTTACATATGCTGTACTGCCAAAACATTCGACATATTTAAGATTTGGTTTTTTATTTGTCCATTCTTCATATGGTGTAATATCCATTCCAACTGTAGGTAATCTATTAAGTAGGTATGTAGCCACTAAAACGGCCTCACCCCACATTTCATTTTTAAGTCCAGATTGGAATAATAAAGTACGAGCTTTTTCCATAATGCTTCGATTTAACCTTTCAGCTTTTCCATTTAACTGAGGTGTATGGTGAATAGTGTAATCTAGTTTTATCCCTTTTCTCTGACACCAGATTTTAAGATCATTATTGGTGTACTCACCACCATTATCACATCTTATAGTACTGACTTTATTCTCTGTTTCACGTTCAACTTCGTTAATATAATCTTTCAGGAGTTGTGACACTTCATACTTATTTCTCATTAAATAGGTTTTTACGAAATGTGTAAAATCATCAAGTACAGTCATAAAATATTTCTTACCATCCCAAGTTTCATCTTCGATACTACACACATCAGTATGAATAATTTCTAACTTTCTAGTAGCTTTATTTCTAGAATAAAATGGTTTTCGAGTTTGTTTCGCCATAATACAAATTTCACATTTAAAGTTGGTTAAAAATTTTTCATCTATGTTTATACCAGTTGCCAATTTAGATAATTTTAACAAAGATTCATTTGACGGATGTCCCATTTTAAAATGCCACATACTTGTGTTGTCTTTCTTTGTTGTATATAGTGACATATCTTTTCTGTCAATAAATGTTTCTAAATTTATGACATATAATCCTTCTGCTGTTCTTTTACCGTGTAGGATTGTTTCAGAATCTTTAGTAATAATTACAGACTGATCTGAGAAATTCACTTCACCGCCATTATTTGTTATATTGTTTACAGATAGAAGATTTTGAGTTAAACTGGGTACGAACAAAACTTTTTGCAGTATTATATCTCGACCAATTATTATACCTTGACCCTGTGCCATCATAGTTTCATCATGTTTAGCAACACTGATCTCAGATTGAATTTCTTGAAAATCATGTAGTGTATCTCGGTTGTTTATCATGTGAATTGAACAACCCGAATCCACTATAAATTGTATGCTTTTCTGGTCATTTGACATTTCTTTAGATAGAAAGGTAACGTGTTTGTTATCCTTTTGATATTTATTTACAAATTGTTTTTTATCTGTACTATAGTTGTTCTTCTTTTGAATGTGGTATTTCCGAAAATAGCAATTAGCTTCTATGTGATTTGTCTTTTTACAAATAGAACATGGTTTTGTTCTACATTGCTTCGCATTATGACCCATGCGATTACAATTTAGACATTTTACAACTTTCTGCGTCTTAAAAGCAGTAGCAGTTGTATTCATAGATATATTCAGTTTTATTCAGCCTATTTTCTTCCGTTAAAAGTCGACTTTTTAGGTTTTTAAGAGTCTTTTCATCTGTTTGTGTTGATTCCCATGCAGTAATAAAATATGAATAGTTGTCTGGTAATGAACTTAATATTTTTGATGTTATAACTTCGTCATCCAATTTTTGTCCAAGTTTTTTTAGTCTAAAAGTGAGATTTTCTATTTCTGACAGATATTCATTAATGTTATGACTAGGTCGATATTTATAGTTGAAGAATTCTTGTAAGATTTGACATTTATTACGTTCTTCTGAACCATCATATAAACTACAGAGATTGTCGAACATATCTTTTGCATTTTCACAATTTAATAAGTGTTGTACATGTTTTTTATCAATAGATGTAATTATAATAGCCTGAGCTTGAGCATCTTTTCTTTCCCAGTCGCCATCTTTTTTCAATTCATTATTGCTTGCTATTATTTCAAATAATCCTTTGGCTTTTAGTATTATTTTTATCTCGAACTTCCAGATATTATACGATTCATTATCTACTAGTCTTGTTATGTGGTCTTCATTACTATCACCCGATCTCGCCATTTTTAATGTTTTTAATTTTAATTATTATATTTTATGTAAATATTAATATATTTTATATTATTTGTAGTTATTAGCCCATAACCTGTTGAAATGGGAGATATTCCGAGTGAAATGACCTAGATAATGGATATTTTTAATAAAATACGAACATGATGTTAAACGTAACTTTTTTAATCTATCAATATATTTTTTTAACAATGACAGAATTTATTACTCAAATACAATTAGGTATGTATATTAACCTCTATGTTCATTCAACATAATATTCTTTCTTCAAATCTCCACATGATAGTATTCTTTCTTCAGTGAAAAGTCTTTACTACTCTGCGTTAAGCTTTCGCGTTTCTAATAAGCCACGATCAATTAAACTTACTAATGTAGTACAATCATTTCATTTGTTTACTCACTATCTAGATAGTACAGGAAACAAATGAATTAAGTAGCGACACCACATAACATCGTACATAACCCTGTATTAGTATTTTATATCCCTTGTGCTACAGCCACATTGTCCATATATGTATGCAATACGTATTTACATTGCTTCTATTCTTAGTGTTATGTTCTTTATTTTGAGCATACGAGTCTCAAGAAATAGGACTATTTAAATAATAGCATGTTGATAATTTATTTTGGCTATCATCGAACATAACGTACTGTGCTGTAATGTTATATATTAAGTGACTATGTTGTTCATCCTAATAGCGGTAGGCCGCTGGGTAGCTACTATTATAGATATAATGTCAACTGAGTATGTATGAATATATAATAGATTACATTTTTGGCAATTTTTGGACAAGTAGCTAGATTCGCTGAATCCTTATTTTAAATATGGTAACACTGCATGTCATGTTTTTAGGTTATAAAATATAAAAACATTCGCTAACCTCGTTGTTTATAATATATTTTGATTGGTAATAAGTAAATAACGAAACATACAAAATGGTAAAAAAGAAAATAGATAACCGAATTAGAGTTATGATCGAGAATGGAGTTAAACTTGGCCATCGTACTATGTTTCTACTCGTTGGCGATAAAAGTCGAGATCAAGTAAGTATTTACACATTTAAATTAATGTTTCGCCATCGCCATGGTTATTTATTATATTTACACTTCTGGACGACGTCTCACCTTATTCCATGAGGATTCAGCTACCTTTACCCTAGTGGCCAGGCGGTTTGGTATACCAATTTATTTTATTTCAAGTTTTGCTTCTCGGTATTCGGTGTGCTTCATTTTGAGTAGACTTGTGTAGTTCGCAAACGATCTAGATAGGAAAAGCGCTCCAAAAGGCGAACTACTCACAATAATTCGCAGCTCTTTAGCTTTTGAGTTTATTTAATAAAACACAAGAATTCATGTTAAAAATTAAGAACATATATTTGCTTTAAAAATACTTATAGGCATAGAGAATGACTAGCCTACTTCCTTTCTCTGGTTACAGTCGGGAGCGAATGAACTAGTTTGCAGAAGACATGTGAATTTTTTTGAGTTATTCAAGTCACTAACTGAATTGAGCTAATTCAGCTGCAAACTATTATGTCCAAGACTAATTCAGAATATGAATTGGGATGGCATATAGTATTGTTACTTCTATCTCACATAATGTCTGTTGCAAACTTACACAGCTGTTATAGATTTTATATATTGTCTTTGATATTTAGATAATTTAACCTTAAAAATAGACATTTAAAAATCAAATTTATTTCAATGCCTTTTTTTAAATAGTATATCTTTATATAGTATAAAACACAGTTGCCGCTGCCGCTTGTTTGCTTATATCTTTTAAATTTTGCTGAGAACTGCATTAAAAACATAATGGATTTTTATGTAGCAATAGATAGATTGATTCAATAGAAATGTTTATATGTAAAATACGTGCATATTCTGGTACAGAAAAGCATAGAAATTCAAAGAATCGAAACTGGGACGGAATGCTAGTATATTATAAATTGCCATTTTAGTCAGTTCTTCAATCACTTTTTAAAAACTAAAAAATCAAAGAATTCTTAATGGATTTCAGGTACCAATTTTATATGATATGCTGGTGAAATCCACTGTAAAAGCTAGGCCAACAGTTCTTTGGTGCTATAAAAATAAGGATGAGGCTATAAGCAAGTGAGTATTTATAAAATACAGTACCAAAAAACATGATTTTAATGTTTTTCAATGTTGAATATTGTGTATATTTTTTTTTAACTTTTTAGTCATGGCCGTAAAAGGGCAAAGAAAATTGCAGCTGGTAAACTAGAAGTATCGGAAGAATCACTGTTTGATGCATTCAGAGTGGCAACCACAATACATGGAAGATATTACTCCGAGAGTCATGCAATGCTTGGTCAGACTTATGGTGTTTGTGTTTTGCAAGTAATTGAACAATTTTATAAATTTATTATTTATTTTTTATGCCGAATCTCAAACATAATGTTTCCAGTCACAACACTACCCAACACTTTTCTTTGTTATTTATCTTTTCAATGTATAAATAAAAAGCATCAGTGTTTAGTTTGAGTTTACATATGGGCAAACATAACCAATTTATTTTCTTTAATCTTCAATTTACCATGCTGTTAATAACATAACAAAAGATATCCAGTTCAGTGTATGCTGAGAGGATGCTGCTGTGCGGCGCAGATTTTCAATTGCTACTCTGACATTTAAATATATTGTAGGACTTTGAAGCTTTAACACCCAATTTGATGGCGCGCACAATCGAAACTGTAGAAGGTGGGGGTCTGATCATCTTTTTATTGAAGACCATGGACTCTTTGCGGCAACTTCATTCAATCACCATGGATGTTCATGCTCGGTTCGTACCAATTAGTCATACTATTACTTATGTACCTTAACAGTAAACCTGTCTGGACGCAATTTTGAATACCAACTAGATTTCGACGCACAATTAGGAAAAATCACGGGATCCTACCGTATTTTTTGCATTTTAATTGATTTCGTTTTCCTAATTATACATATAAATAATGATCTCGTCAAATTTAAAACAGAATACAACTAGATTTCGAAAGAGTTTATTAAATCCTAATTATTTGTTGAAATCAGAGGTTTACGTAAGTACTATCTTAAGCCAAAAATCTGTAAATTTTTATTTATGACATCTGACTACAGCATTTGGTATTACATTCCTTATTATTATTAATTAATTTCAATTAATAATAATAAGGATTTTCTTAATTTCCTATTTCCAATTTAACGTTGTTCTAAAATTGTGGTAATTCTAGTTTTAAAACAGAGGCCCATGACACGGTAGTGAACCGTTTCAACGAGAGGTTCCTGCTGTCGTTAGCTGACCACCCTCGATGTCTGATCCTGGATGATTCACTCACAGTCCTGCCAATATCATCAAAGACTGCTCAAGTGGAACCAGTAGATGTTACACCAGAGGTACATAAACCAATTACATATATTATCTAATATAACAATATATATTATTATCTATCAATCTAACTTATAATAACCCTTAACAATTCACACTGTGTTTAACGGATCCAATAAAATAATCCAATAATATAAAGTTATGGTATCAAACTTTTGTTATAATAATTTTCAAATTTCGAATCATTACGTAAATAAAAAGTAAAATATACTTAGATGGCCAAGGAGGTTTTATATTCATACTTAAGCACACTGCATCATCTAGATTCTAGACACAAGCTAAGCAGAATTTGTGTTATGTATAATACTGATAGAATACTTAGATACATATTTTTTTGGAAAATAAATTAATAATATAACTATAAAACGCACAGAACAATAAAATCTATCATATGCATAAATACATATGTATGTAGGTATGTATTGTGCGAGGAATCGAACCAAATAATTTTCTTCAAATTGCAAAAAGTTGCATTTCCACATACATAAATACGCCTAGTGTGATAATGACAGAAAGGAAAAAATGTCACGAGAGTGCATGTGTGGTGATAGTCTCTTTAGTCAGATCTATTCCGAATGGTAAACAGTCACCCAGTATAACATTGTATAATATTATAATTACAGCTTACACTATTATAGGTTAACATAATAATATTACATAACATTATATATTATTACAGAGAGTAAACCCTAAACTGACGGAACTAGTGTCGTCTCTCTCTGACTCTCCGCCTGCCGGCCCGCTATTGGCTCTCTGTCGCACGTATGACCAAGCTACAGCATTAATAGCTCTCATCAACACCCTCGCAGACAAGGAGAGCAGGTATGAAATAATAATTATCATATTTTTTTTTAAATATAATAGCAATAAAATTTAAATATATCAGAAATATGAATTCACCATAATGTAAATTTTACACATCCACATCTGCTCATCATAGTCTGTGGCTGATTGTAAGATGGACAAAGAATTATGAACTTACAGGATAAGAGGCATGACATCTTACTCCTCTGGAATGATAATGAGTAGTTTTGGTGTTGTCACATGATAACGTGATGACCATAGTGCTGTTCATGTACAGACAGTATAATAACAATTGAAACAGCACCATCTAGTCCCAAGCTACGCAGAGCTTGTCTTACATTTTTTTTTGTATACATAATATAGAAACACCAAGACCAATACAAACAATCATACGCATGAATACAAATGTTTGTACCATACGAGGAATCGAACCCGCGACCATCGAAGGTATGGTGGTGTGCTAAACCTATATTAATATTCTTTCAATATCTACTACCAAATATTAGTTATAAGATCCAAAGGTATAGCAATATTTTTTCAGGCCTCCACACTGCCTCACAGCGGCCCGTGGTCGTGGCAAGTCGGCCTGTCTCGGCCTGGCTGTAGCCGCCTCAATCGCCCTCGGCTACGTCAATATCTACATCACATCTCCACATCCTGAAAACTTGATCACACTCTTCGAGTTCATACTAAAAGGTCTAGATGCATGTCTGTACCAGGAGCATATAGACTACAGCATTGTGAGGTCAACTAACCCGGACTTTAAGAAGGCAATCGTGAGGATTAATATATCTAGGAATTCGAGGCAGACTGTACAGGTGAGTTGTATTTATAATAACTAGTGGTTGAAATTCGACCATAATGAATTTCAATTATAAGTTTAAACATTTTTCGTCATTCATTATCGTATAAAGGGGTAAAAAGTTTTTACCTCATGTATTAATATAATTAGTTAAGCAGATGTTGTGTCATGGGTGTTAGACAACTAATGTAAATACTTTTTCTTTGTAAATACAATACATACGTAATTTACATAGATCATAGATAACACCTTGAAAAATAGAAGAGTCTGTCCTGAGTCTGAATTAACAAAGAAACCAAGATTCTAATATTGTATAAAATATTTTCTTAACAAAGCTTTTAAGTTTATTATTAAGCTTAATAATAAATTAAAAAAAAAACATAGAACTGATACAGTTTCTATGTTGATTGCCGCTTGTCTCCTCCTTGTTAATGTGTATTTACTTAAATCAACATTTATTTAAAAAAGCATCAAGCAATTTGCGGTTCTCCCGATCGATGGGCTAACTAACCTGAACTCATACTCATCTTATCATTGTCCACTGGTTCCCCCCAGCGTACCACGTACGGGCGGAGCAACATTCCATAATAATCATTAAAAAAATGGGGTTATTAATCTATATTATAACAATCTCCTAGAATTTAAAGAGTAATTAAGACGGTTGGTTGCAGTACATGACACCGGATGACCATTCGCTGCTGGCGGCGGCGGACCTGGTGGTGGTGGATGAAGCGGCAGCCATTCCCCTGGCGCAGGTGGCAGCAGTTGCCGCTCGCGCTCCGCTGTCGCTGCTGTCTTCCACCGTCTCTGGGTACGAGGGCACGGGCCGGGCACTCTCGCTGAAACTCTTCGCGCAACTCCAGACCAAGCACAACGCACCTGCGCCGGTAATTACTTTTTCTAATCAATCAATCCTAATTGCACTGATCTAATTCAATCCGTGACCTTAAAACTTTTTTTTTTTATTTATTTACTTAATACAGAATACATGTGTACTAATTTACTGAAGAAATGATGATATTCACAGAAGTCAACTAACTAAATAACCCTTGCAAAGGCAGATAAAACTAGAAGAGCCAATCCGGTATCGAACCGGCGATCCAGTAGAAGCATGGCTGGGTTCCCTGCTGTGTCTAGAGGCGCCAGCCCCGTCCGTGGGCGTGGGTGCTCCGCCCCCGGCCGCCTGTGAACTGTTCCGTGTAAACCGGGATGCACTGTTCTGCTACCATCGTGCTGCTGAAGCCTTCCTGCACCGTCTCGTCTCCATCTACGTCGCCAGCCATTACAAAGTTAGTACTTCTATAATAATAATAGGTTTATTTTTCGATGTCTGATCTCGATCGGTCAAGCCGTTTCGGAGGAGTATCGTTACAAAGAGTACAAATCTGATCTCTAAGATAGCTCTGCGATTCGCGCTCCTCTCAATAATATGCCAATGAAATAGTAAGCACAGACGACAGAGAAATTGAAACAATTTGTGTACAGAACAGTCCGAACGATCTGCAACTACTCGCGGATGCGCCGGCGCATTGTCTGTTCGTGTTGCTGGCGCCCACTCCACCAGCCTCCACTGCCATGCCCGAGCTGCTCTGTGTAGTGCAAATGTGCCTCGAGGGAAACATCTCTGATAAGTATGTACCACCTATTACTGACTCATTGTTGCCCACGGTTTTGTCTGCACAAACTTGCATCCCTAATTTCAGCAGATTATTTGTGATAAAAGTTAGTCTATTTTGTTATTTGTTTTTAGTTTGTTGTCTTTTCAATAACATTTTGCATTGCAGCAGTTAATATTTATTGATAAATTGACCAAAATATATGATAAAACAGTGATCCCGCGCTCCATCCAGAATTTTTTGAAGAACCTAGAAATTTAGAAATCTATTTCCGAGTACGTAATGTCAACATTTAAATCGATATGTTTTGTGAAAACAATTATTTGTTGGAAATATAATTCGAGGATACCACCGAAGACTATACGAAACTGAACCAAAAAAAATGCCTTTTCAAAAACAAGTAGGTATATAAATGGATCACAATTAAATTAGACTTGAAGTAGATTTTATTATAAGGACGGCCTTGGGTTATCAGCCTTGGGCCTCAGAAAAAGCAGATAAAACATAATTTTAGTTATATCTAATAGAAAATGTTTCTCTACAGATCTGTGCGTGACAACTTAGGTAGAGGACGGAAAGCCGCCGGTGACTTGATCCCATGGAATATATGTGAGCAGTTCGGTGATAGAGATTTCCCGAAGCTGTCAGGAGCCAGGATAGTCAGGATAGCGACTCATCCATCCTATCAGCGGGTAAATCTTAAATTATCTGTTTCTATACCATGCAACTAATATATAAGAATTGTTTACTAAAAAATAAATATATATATAATAAATATTTTCTCCTTGTTTTAAATTATGATTTATATAGTTTTTGGTCCTTTGAAGGAAGGATTACTCAAAAACTACTGGTCATATGTTAATCAAGTTTATAAAGGATAAGATAACAATAGTTTATAATGTTTATTATTTTATGGGAAGGTTTTCTGTCTTAATGTTAATACGTCAACAGATGGGTTACGGCAAGCGCGCGTTACAACAACTAACCGCATACTACAGCGGACAGATACCGTGCCTGGACGAAGCGGAATCGGATGGAGAGGATACGATCAACGGGAAATCTGAAACGTTGCACACAGAAACAATAGTCCCTAGGTGAGTTGCAGTACATGACACTCAGAAAATGTGTATTCTAATAACCTTAGAAAATGTGTCGAACTTCTTAGCATTCCATAGATTCACCGTGCGGGTTCATCATGTGGCGGTGAGGAAAACTCCGAGCAGTTGTCACTCGGGTGTAGGTTTTAAGAAGCCCTTCGCCGATGTTCGTGATGTATTTCTCTCCCTGCCCCACCATATCTGGTGGGAGCCTCCTAGTGCATCTTAGATAGACGTACATAGAGCAAAAAAACTCAGAAACAAATGTGCCTTTTAGTAAAATTCTTACACACTTTTAAAGGTACATTATTCTAGATAGATTTAGCTATACCCTGTGTATACAACTATATGTTATAAATATGATTATATGCAGAGCGAAACCACCAACCCTGTTAAGGCGATTGACAGAAGTGCGAGCTGAACATTTGGACTACATAGGCACCAGTTTTGGATTAACGGAAGATTTACTCAAGTTTTGGAAATCTCAGAAATACATACCAGTTTATATAAGGTACGTTTTCTTGACTCGCTAAGGGAAATAGCAAATAAGGTGGACCGCCTGTTGGCCGTCCCTTTTATACTTCAAAAGCGCTACAGTCATCTATTTATCAAGTGACGCCCTTCCATAATAATTACGTTGACAGGGCTCCAGTAGAGGATGACGAGATGAGCATGAGGTCAGGTCAGTTATCCCATCGTGACAAATTCATCACGATGGTTTCCAGGGGGAACCACGTGGAGGTCGACGTAATATGGTACATTGTTAGCATTGGGAAATACTAGTTCCCATTGCTAACAACCTCCCCCCCCCCCCCCTGAGGCGGACTAAGGCTAGGCACGTGCCTAGGGCCTGTAATGTTTGGGACCGAAAATTTATATAATTTATTTTTATTTAACAAAAAAACTTTGCCTAGGGCCCTCTTTAGCCTTAGTCCGCCGCTAATTATATCTCACATTCCAACCGAAACACAACTCATATAGACGACGCTTTGTAGCTGCTTGATATGGGTGAGACAGAACTCCATTTACTGTATAACATTGTTTTATGAGGTTTCATGTGAATATGTCTCCCCTTTAAAAACTGATTCATCTCACCTACAGCCAAAAAACGAACGAGCTAACAGGCGAGCACTCCTGCATACTGTTGCTGTCGTTACGAGCGGAAGCGGAAGCGGGGGCGGGTAGCGGGTGGCTGTCTGCGTACAGTGCTGACTATCGGCGGCGACTGGCGCGACTACTGGCCCGCTCGCTCCGTCGCTTACCCGCAGCTCTTGCACTCAGAGCACTCGGGAATCACCCATCTAATGGACCAGGTATGTTAATTTTGCCCAAGTTATAAATATATATACTTAAATTATTATTATTATTCTTACATACACAATAATGTTATCAGGAGTTACTTTGGCTATTTTTATTTTATTAAAAAAAGTAATTTTACAAACGGAGGGTATCGCTACTACCAGGTCATTCGTACTTCCTTATACTTACTAATTATAAATGCGAAAGTAACTCTGTCTGTCTCGCTTTCATGTCAAAAGTACTGAACCAATTCGAATGTAATTTGGTACATAAACATTCTAAACCCCGAGAAAGGACATAGGCTACTTTTTTATGCGAAAGAAGGGTTAAAAGGGGATATGAAAGGTTGTATAGAATTATCGAGCTTTAGAGAAATTTATTTTTTAGGCTTTTGATTCAATATAATAAATAACATTCATAATTTGTGAAAATGTTACCTTTAACAGAGTAAAATAAAATAGGGGATGAAAGTTTGTATGGAAATTCGTCATTTTTGTAGTTAAAACCATTAAACTTCAAAGTAACTATTCCACAGAGACAAAGTCAGAGCGAACAGAGCCAGTTTATTATAAAATCATTATATTTATTTTTTTATTTCAGCTCTAACGAAGCAACTGATAGGGCAGCACTTATCAGGTCATGACCTGTCCCGGCTGGAGGCGTACAGTCGTCAGCAGGCGGATTACAGACTAGTCACAGATCTACTACAGCCTCTCGCCACTCTCGTATTCCACACTAAGGCACCGTTCAAACTTGACGCTGTGCAACAGGTTGGTTCACAGATATGACTAGAAGAATGCCTATTTTTTTTTTGTGGATGTTAATGGAATAGTGCACCCGCCTGCGCTAATGTTTTATGCTGGAGATGCTCCAGTGGAGGATGATAAGATTTTTTTTGTAAAAACATGCATACTATACTTAGAAAATATTCAGAACAATACTGTTCGAAAATAAGCAGAACAAAAGATTTATATCATACTCATGAATATAAATGTTTGTACCGTGGGAGGAATGGAACCCGCGACCATCAAAAGTAAGGGCATCGAATTTACCTGATATACAGACTTTTTAATGTTGACTTGGTACTTGACGTATAGTTAGCCCGATTTATTACCATTATTTACTAATTTACATGTTGACTTACTGTTATGAATATATTGTGTTGGTGTACTTCCATTTCATGTATTCCTAGTAACTTTAGTGAATATACGCTATATTAAATTTGTAAAGCACAAAGAAGAATCTTACATGTATATTTTACTATTTATTACAGGTTATATTTGTAGCAATGGGATTCCAAATGAAAGATGTGGACGATATAGCAAGCGAGTTGAGTTTACCAGGCTCCCAAATCCTGGCGAAGTTCTACGAATCTTGCAAGAAGATAAACAATGTCATTAACGCCGTGCTAGAAGATACCGTAGCTAAAGAAATAGGCATAGAAGATAAGAGCGCGGATGGGGTTACAGCTGAAGGTCCAGTAAAGCAAAGTCTTCAAGAGGAATTGTCCAAAGCAGCCAAGGTAATATGTGGTTGTGTTATATTGTATGTTATATTTAGACTTAGAAAGAGTTTTTAATATACTTTTTTATTTTTTTATATGTATTTTATTTTCACACAAATATAAAGACAATATTAATAGCAGATAAATGTTTTCTATGTATTATAGCTAACTGTTATCTGCAATTTCGTTGGCGTGGATTTTAACTATATTTTATTAGTTAATATAAATAAAATTTCTAAAATAAAAGTAGCCTATGTAGTACTACTACTATAATATACTTAGCTATGTCCAAGTGAAAGAAGTGTTTCAGATATTAGCAAGAACAAACAGAGCGAAAGACAAATGGACATGTATTTTTAAATAATTTTTTTGATGCACCTTAACTACATTTACTTTAAATATATTTAGTGAAAAGCTATTAATATGAATTTACAATCAAAGACTTCAAGTCTACTAAATTGTATACATTTTATTCAGGGGACGTGTACTTCGATAAAAATTATAATACTAAGTCTTAGCGTACGTCTGGGAACATTTGTTTCACCTATTCAACCGCTAAGCAGTTTGCTTAAAGTTTTGATTGGCGAGTCAGATATGGCAATGAAATTGAAATGGATGACGGTTGCAACTTATTAGCTGGACCGTCAACTTGTTTTCCAACACTGTACCCCTTTTTACGATGTATGCGCAGACGGAGAAGAGAGAAGAAGAGTATATATTGCGGACAGTTTACATAGAGAAGTGCACAGTGCAATTTTTTTTTAATAATGCGTAAAAAATACATTTAATAAAAAAAAAAACATTACACACACTACCATATATCACACACGCATATATAAACTAATAACTAACTCTTTTATTTAATGTTAAAGTCTGTGGTCAAATTGAGAATATTTTAATGTGTCTCTTTAATATTATTTGTCTATAATCTTACTGAATGTTAATTTTAATTATGGTCGATTTTCGCCACAAGTAATTATAACTCAATTATTAAAAAAGGACATTTATGATTTTTTTCTCATCTTATACAATCCAGGAATTGGAGCGTAAACAGCGCAAGGAATTGTCAAAGCTGATGGGTGAAGATCTAGCGCAGTACCGAATTAAAGGCAGTGATATGGACTGGGGTCAGGCTCTCGCCGGCTCCAACAAGAAGAGTCTCGTCTCAGTCAAAAGGTGAGGCAGTTTAATGATTCTATTGTGGTAAAATTTTTAATTTCTTTTTTATTATCTAAACAATTTCGCCATCATTTTCATACTGTGCCCATGATTTTATAACACACCACTTTACCTCCGATGGTTGCGGGTTTTATACCTCGCACGGTACAAACATTTTTATTCATGAGTATGATTGTTTGTATTGGTCTGGGTATTTTCTATATATAATATGTATTATACATATATAATATGTATTTACAGAATAAATATATTTGTGTATATGTATTTATATCAAAAGCATTTACATATATCAGTTGTCTAGTACCCATAACACAGCTTGGGACGAGATGGCGCTGTGTGAATTGTGTTGTGATATTATTATTATTATAAACCCTCCTCTTATAAGTGTTTCCTATCCAAGATTTAACATTATTAGATTACCAACAATGTAAGGATTTCCATCTCAATATACATATTTACTACTAATTGTTTATTTCCAATGAACTTACGGTCTCGAGTTCCAGTCAGAGGATCTTGTGATCTCTAAATACTGTTAATTTTAAAAAAATGCAAAATTACGAGTTTTCCTTACTCTTACAGTGGTGAGAAGCGGCTAGGCGATGATAGCAAGGAGATAGATGACCTAATAGAAGCTCACTCGAACAAGACCAAAAAGAAAAAGAAACATAACAGGAATTTATGAATAAAATATTAATTCTATATAAATACTTATTTTATTTACTACACGTTTTCAATACCTAATTCAGGAAGAAACAGGGGCAATGTTGTTTAATTTTATAGGTATCAGTAATGTTAATAAGGTCATGCAATATATGAAACTTGACTGCTCCACAAGTGTCTTAAAAAATTCAAAGATGATTAGTGGACCCTGCGACGTCATAGAAAGTGAGAACTCAGTATGACACAATATTTCTTGATTTTGAAAACCAACACCCGGTTTACAAGTTCCGAGAACTGCTCGGAGTTTCCCTTTCTGCCACTCGCACGGTGAATCTATGGAGAGCTAAGAAGTTTGTCTCTTCATCTAAAATCGACTTTGATATGACCGTTATCAAACTTGAGTTTAGTTAAAAAAACAGGTCGTCAGCTAGTCATTTTAGAGTCATAATTCATTTGTACAAATTATACCTACTTACCCGTGTTATTCGAGTATTAATGTTATTTATAGGAACTTGCTGAGGATACGAAAATAATAAAAACACATTCAATAATAATTTCTATAATTATTGTAATATAAAAAAGTGGTAGTTATTCAACCCTTGGAATAGACAATAGATATTTCCTCTTAAACATAACAAATATGAGGGGCCATGGTGGTACGGGGCGCGGTGCCATCGACGCTCGTAAAAAAATAACATATTTTTTAAACCTGACCGTCCGCGCGACTCGACCACCCGTCGTCACCACCATGACGCCCATACTTCTATACTTTACCATTTATTACAATATAATGTGTTCTAAGAAAAATAATATTTTCGTCTAACGCCCGGGAGCGTCTGTAAACAATTATATACTATAATTTGTTTGTTCCTTACATTAAGATTACACGGGTCTACTCGTTATGAACAGGTCATAACGTCGGCTGATGCCGGTAGCTTAACACCGAAGGCCCGACGTTCAATTCGAGAGACTCCGGTGCGACTGTCGCCATCTTTAATGATTACAACACTACTGCACGACGAGTCGCACAGAAATCTATCGAATTTCGCTCGCTCGCAATATTTGATCTATTTAAGTGACAAATTTACAGCGATTTTCAAATTTTACATTCTTCACGACTATTGAACGCATACCTAACATTCGACTCCCACACTTCTATAATAATAGTATAATAAAAACATCGACTACAAAACATAATTTAGAATATCATTGACTGCTATAGTTAAACAATTTCGTTTATATTTGGTATACACTTCTCCATTTTCACAGTTCAAATCAATTCAGTAATAAAATATATTAATCTAAGTACAAGTTTAATTGGATAAGGGTAAAAATTATTGGTATTACTATATCTTGCAGTAGGTTAATTTGGCTAAGCGAGACAATATTCCGCCGACGATGCGGCAGATAATAAATTAAATATAATTAAAAAGGAATTGCACTTAGGAAAGGTTGCGACTCTTGGCACTTTGTCTTACGCTAATAATTTATTTGTCAACATAAAAAAAGGTATAACTAATAATAATCGACGGACGTCCATTATTTCACAATACACACATGTCAACATTATATTTTATTTTTCTTTATTGGCTTCAAACATAATATTATCTAAGCGCGCCAATGCAGGTCATAAATCTAATTGCTCTACAGTACTCGCCAAATAAGAACCTTATGCTGAACGGAGTAAAGATCAATTTTAATAATTTATTTAATAACATTTTTTTTTCTGAGCAAGGCTAAAGATAGTTTATGATAAATTGTAAATGATAGACAAATTCGTGATTCAACATCTAGAATAGGTATTCATAACTAAGAACAATATTTTTTAGACTTCTACAAAATACTGCCCAGTGTTTACATCTGATTTACACCAATGGTGTAGTGTTAACAGAAAAAATGCCTACCTAATATTTACTTTGAACAAATAATATAGAAATTAATTAATTTCTAAATTTACGTAATCGTATGTTTATAATAAAATCTTGGTGTCACTTTCATAAACTCATTTAATAAACTTGCTACGTAAATAAAGTTAGGGTACATTCCGAGCAATTAGATTGGACTTGCTATATGTTCGCGCGCTATTGAAGATAATGTGAAAAAATACATCGATATTCACACATTTCTATGTATTAACTAATTACTTGTTAATAAAATATATAGCTCAATAACATATATTTGAACTTAGTGTACGTAGGTACGTTGGAAGCGAGTGTACAGCGATCGACCTAAGGACTGACACTGACGTTACATTCAAACTGACCCCATACAAATAACTAGGCCCACCATTTAAAGAAACATTCAATTTAAATATTGCATTCTGATTGTATAGTATAATCCTTTGAATTAGCTTTCATGATAAAAAAATAAATATATGTAAAATTAGACAAAACGCAGAATTTTAAAGGTTTGCAGGTAAAAAAATTGAGATTTTCCATTTACTACACATAATTTCTTTCTATCTTTAACCAATAAAAATAGTTCTCATAATCGAACGATTCTGTAATAAGTTGTGAGGTCCACCATCACGGAATCAATTTAAATGCATCGCCAATACCCGACTTAATAGGAGAGGATACTACACAGGTAACTCGAAACACGAAAGCAAATGCACTAGACCTTATTGCCACACTTATATTATTGCTACGACATATATATACTGATCTACGTATTACAATATAAATATAATTATAATCATTATACAACATTCAATAAAAAGAAATATTATTAATTGTTATTGCATTCTTTTACTTTATTATAAATCAGAGAGGGGTATTAGGTATTAGTTTTATTAAACGTTTTTAGACTACATTAGTGCGAGTAGTGTACAGTGCGATAGATAATTCTGTACAGAACATCTAGTTAATGCCATTAAAATATAGTATATAAATGAATTTAGACCAAACGAGGGAAATCTCATTCCTCTTCTTGAATTTTTTAGCACAAACAATAAAAATGTCTGACTCTACTCTACCGTCTGTCAAATTCCCAACATAGCATTTACTAGCGAACTACTTGAATGGGCTATGCTATGGGTAGTAAGATGACTGTGGAGTTGTGAATCCTTTAACGAAAAATAGCGAGCGAACTCTTTTCTTCCTTTTCTTCTTGAATACTACATGGATCTTAATTGATGGTAATATATTTATAATCAACTCTAATCTATAAAATTGTTCTAACTGTGGAAATATTGCAATGTTCTTCTGATCTCCTCTGTTACTCCTCACCTCTTTGTTATTTTGGTCTAAATTCAGCTTCTATCACAAACTTGTACGCTGTTCAAGGTAATTCCCTTAGGTACCCTATTTAAAGGGTAAACAATGTACATACTGCACTGTACCTGCGTATGTACTACAGGTTCCAAATTAAATGAGGCTAAACAATCTCTCACTAAGGCACAATTTAAATTTCCATTTTGAACTTTATTTCTAAAACAAACGAATTCAATTCCCCACTCCGTAAGATATGATTTGGCGCGTCTAACAATTACTACGAGCAATTAGGTACATAATGAGGGAACATCGAAATTTGTGACAAATATTGGCGATCATAGATTTATTATAAATGTAAAAATACTTATTTATATATGCGTGTAATAATAATACGTTATTATGCACTAAGCGTTTCACATTTCATTTAGTAGGCATGTAGTTGCGTTGTAGTCTAGAATTTTTGTTTAGTGAAATATGTTTAGATACTATCGAGTAACATTCTTGTCTACTGCGCTCAGTTTTAAATCAAATCTCATGTTGATGATATAACAAAGAGAAAATAACTTTGTAACACTTATTACACATTAGTAATAAATTTGTTTTGATCTATAAATATATTTCCATATTTTATTAAGTTTTTCAATAAAATTTATTTGGATATCAAAATCTTACGCTCTATTTCTAGACTAGTTAGGTACAGAAAATGTTATAATTATAAACCAATGTCCACTTATAAATATATATATAGACCATCTACAAATATATTCACATACCTAGAGACAATTCATTTATATACTACTTGACAAATATTTTATTTTATTATAGCCGATGTGTTGTTGACTTTCATATTTTAATTTAATTTTCTTTTTTGAGAATGAGGGGGTGTAACTTATTAATTACAAAAATATTTATGGTTTACTGAATGGCTGAGTAAAATGATTTAAAACATAAGCGCAATAACATTAGATAATTATGTATTATACTCATATATTCTATTATTCTATTGATTTGCTAATTGTATGTATAAAAGAATTATAAAATGCTAGTTTAGTAATTTAAATGTTCTATAACTTTGTAGAATATTGCCATACCGCCTATACTATAACTATGAGTGTAGAAATCTATATAATTGAATAATTATGGTGTTACTTGGTGTATTAACGTTACATTATTAAGTACTGAAGTTATTTCAATCCTTCTCTATAACTAATACCAATGCTTGTGTATATACCCCGTTAAAAACTAATAAACCTATTTTAGCTACTAGATTATATAATGTTTTTGTAGGTAGATATATGTATTTCTTACTAATAATTGGTACATAATTGGCAGGTCGACCTCTGTGGTCTCAACTGGAAGTTCTAAATTTCTAATGATTTAGTCTCCATGGATTAACTGATGATCTCATACTAGTCATCTTTCTAGTTGAGGTGGATGCTTTATAACATCATCATCCATTAGAAAAAATCGCTGTGCTTTTCTTTCAAACAATTTTCAACATTGGTAACAAAGAGACAAAGCAGTATAATAGTTAAATTTAGTTTTTAGATACATTTATTTTTTATGCATAAGGAGGCATGTATTTAATCTAAATACCATACCTATCTAATAAATTCAATGCGATATCTTTCATATCTATGAAAAACTAGCACTCTTTAAACATACACACAATTCAGTTTGTAATGTGTATTTCAATAATTAGGTATAGAAACCCCGTTAGTCATAAAAATTAAAACCTAAAAAACAATTCTAACAATTACAGTATTTTGTCACTTACTGTAAACGAAGAAAATTACTTGAGAGAAAAGGA